GTACGCATGGACATAGACATGGACATGGTCACACATAGACACGTACACACAAGTGCATTTATTCACATGCACTGTATCATAAATACTCAAATAAACATGCATGTACATATACACGTTAACGTACCTATACACAGACTTAAACATATATATGCATGCACCCTAAACACCATAGGTCGTAACGTCGAGCTTTCTGTAAAAATGCATAGGAAGGTCCCACTGTAGATCCTCACTTGCGTATATTTAGTTGGTTGTAGTTTCAATAAGAGTTCAATACTGCTTAACGAACAATTTTATATTTTGCTGCATTCATTGCTGTGTTTTAAATTCCTAGTTGACCAGCAGAAATGCTTGCTGTGTTGTGTTACGTACTGGTTGTGTTGTCAACATTGGTGGACTCCGCCACCCTGATAGTAGACACACCCCTGGGGAAGATCCGAGGAATGGAGGTGACAGCCAACAACAGCAAGACCTACTGGTCCTTCCGTGGAATTCCCTACGCCAAACCTCCGCTTGGAAAACTTCGCTTCGCTAAACCCGTGGCTTTGACTTATCAAGGTAGGCTACATGTTTAATTGAGGTTTCGAGAAATGTAGTTGTGTTCTCTGGATAATAAAGCTAGACAGCGTTAGGAATATGCTTGGCGTAGGTTTTATTATATTTCGGTCTAGATTTGTGTATTTATAAAGGTTTTTATTATAATGATGTTCATTCTTTTCATTTTCCACGTTCAATATTTAAATATTGTGAAGAGTTACGTTGCTTCGATACTTAAATTTATATAGCATTACATTAATGTTTTCCATTCCAATCTTTCTTAAATCAATACACCTAATGACTTAATTTTTATAAAAAATGTATGAAAGGAATACGTCATTTAAAATGGGCATAATTTATTTTTAAAATGTGATCACACGCTCTCATACCTACAGACACACATACAGTATGAGCTTAGAAATGCTTGTAAAAATATAAATTTGTAAAACGTTTTAAATATACTATTGATATTCTTTTGATTGAGGCATGTTGAAAAGAAAAGGCAAGTATCTTTCTGAGATTCAACTAGAGAGGGGGAGGGTTGAGAACGAGCGAAATGTATTGTATTGTAATTTCTTATAAACAGATAAAATCATTGACGGTACAGCACCTGGGAAATCTTGCATCCAAGCACCGATGATACTGTCTAAAGACGTCACGTCAGAGGACTGTCTCTTCCTCAACGTATACACCAAACACGTGGACTTGAACAACCCCAAGAAGGTCCTCGTCTGGATTCACGGTGGTGCGTTCTTGTTCGGCTCTTCTTCTATCGACGCCGGCACTTTCGTCACAGATCATGACGTCATTGTCGTGACGCTCAACTACCGGTTGGGGCTTCTGGGATTTTTCAGCACTGAAGACAACGCAAGTCCTGGGAATTACGGTCTGTGGGATCAGGCTATGGCAATCAAATGGGTCAAGTATAACATCGGAGCTTTCGGCGGTGACCCGGATGATATCACGATCTCCGGTGAATCGGCTGGAGGTGGGTCTGTTTCCCTGCTGTCCCTCAGCCCAGTGACGAAAGGTTTGTTCACCAAAGCCTACTCACAGAGTGGAGCTGCGAATTCTTTGTTTGCGAAATACAGCAACCCAAGATCTGCGGCACTGGAAATCGCCAAATCTTTTAATTGCTCAGATGGTCACGAGATTAAAGGGAACACAACCTCCTCCAAGTTGATAATCGATTGCCTCCGCACAATACCGGCCGATGCTTTTGTTCATTTAAACCTTTTTGAAGGATTTCGGGCGAAGATGACACCCCGTGCTGACGGTGAATTCCTGCCGAGAACACCACTTAGCCTCATTAAAGATACCTATTACCTGGAACAGATTGGCTTCTACAACAGGACCTACCTCGTCGGTCTCAACAACAACGAAAAGACAACGATAGAACCTTTTCATTATGGAACATTGCAGGCAATTTTCGAAAACGTCACTCTAAATGACTCACAGAAAGAAAAGCTTTGGCAAGACTATCAACAGAAAACATACTCAACCGTTATCTCAGATGGTTTAGAACTCGAAACCCTCCCTAACCATATCTTGCAGACGGTGGTCGACTGGTATGAAGACAGAAACACTATTTACACGGCCATACCTGAGATAGTAACTGACCTACAGTTCTACATCCCGACCTTCCAGGTCTTGAACGCCATCGCTAGGAGCAAGACAACGGACGCCTGGCTGCTGTACTTTAACTACTACCCCCACTACATGAGAGGGGACGCCAGGGGTATGGTACACGCCCTGGACCTCTCCTACTGGCTCGACACCCCAGCGGACGAGCTCCAAAAAATGCTCAGCTCCAAAACTCCTACCAACTTTGACGCCCGAGACAAAAGAGTAAAGGCGAGGTTAGCGGCCATCGTTGCAAGCTTTGTAAATAATGGGTAAGTATCTAATATATATAGCTTATTTCTGTATGTAACTTGTAATATGTAAAGTATAAAATGTTTGTCGCGGATACTTCCATGGATTTAAGTGTTAGGTTATTAAAGTCCTTATGGTCTAAATTTATGAGTTAAATATGAATATTAAGAGTGTTGGGAAATAATTTTCATTTTTCAAACTGAAAGTGATAATTTTCGGCATGTTCATTAAACACAAGTTTTGAAAAATATCATCTTTTACCATAATTCTAATTATGTCTTTATTTAGTCCTTTAGCACTTACTTCCCTTTGATAAATTAGAAAAAAAACAATTACTTCCCTTTATAAAAAAATATTGCATTAGTGGAAAAGAATTTACTTTTTATTACTTTGTTTTGGTGTTGGGAAAAAAATAATTACATAATTAGCGGGGATTGATCAAGTGCAAATGTTGTAGGTATTTTACGGATCAGCTTGGAGTATTATAATTGTTCATTAAATTGAAACGGGCGCGTTCGTTTAAGTGAGTGCAAAAGACTATGAATAAGTTGGGGTACTATAGTCGTTTATTAAGCTGAAACAGGCGATTCCGCCCCGGGCTAGACTGTGAGCACTTTGCGTTTATGTTCGCGTTAGTGTTTTTTGTGTGTGTTTAGATTGGGTTTGCCTTAATGGTTGCGTTTTCATTTGTTTCGTTTTTGTTCTTTCTTTTTTCGTTTTCGTTTGTGTTTTTTTCTTTGGGTTTGTGTTTGTATTTGTGTTTGTGGTTGGTTTTGCGTTTGGATTTGGTTTGTTTTCGTTTGCTTTTTCGTTTGTTTTTTTTCTTTGTGTTGGTATTGGTGTTTGTGGTTGTGGTTGGGTTTGTTGTTAAGTTTTTGTTTTCGTTTGCTTTTTTGTTTGTTTTTTCTTTGTGTTTGTATTGTTGTTTGTGGTTGTGGTTGGGTTTGTTGTTGGGTTTTTGTTTTCGTTTGTATTTGTTATTGTGTTAGCATTATGTTTGCGTTTTGTTGTTTTGGTTTTGGTTGGTTGTGGTTTGGATGTGAAATGCCGGATTTATGATGATTACTAAACACACAGGTAATGGTCTTTAACAGAAAGGTTTTAAACAGAAGCCAGAGCAGGGCCTGGTCGGGACGGCTAGTTATATATATATATATATATATATATATATATATATATATATATATATATATATATATATATATATATATATATATATATATATATATATATATATAATTTCAACGCGAACATGTTTGCATGAGTACTGTGTAATCTTTAGTAGGGTTGAGTTTACGAAGGGGGAGAGAACCGCAGATTTAAATGATCCCACACAAGTGATCGTGCTTGGAGAACAAATCGTATTTTACTCTCGAAGCCCCCTGTTATTGTTTTATTTGGTACCTGATTTCAATACTTAGGGTTTTTTTTTTTTTTTTCAATATTTTTTGCCATTTTTTTTGTTTCTGTTGTGATTTCAGCATCGAATGTGTGTGTAAATTATTTGACGTCTGCACTACCCTGATTTATAAAATAATAAAACTCCATTAAAATCCAAAGACCAGTTTTATTTTCTGGAGACATTAAATTTGTTTTCAAAATTTCCAACCTTTTATAGAAATGTTATACTTGATGTATTTGGCATAAAATATACTCAAGTGTGAGGTTTAATGCTTTACATAGTCTTTATAAGATTTTATTGTGTCTGCCAGTATAATACAGTGTTTCCGTTGGTGCATCATTGAGTTGAGGTGGCAGAAAATTGTTTCCTGCGCCGATAACAATAGGTTGCGTTTATCGAAATATTTTGATTTACTACTAGCCTGGTCATTGAGACGGACAGTATAAGAAACATGTGGCTAGTGCCAGATTAATGGGGGAAAGCTCTCCACCACTGGATGTAGTCGAAGCCCCCCCCCCACACACACACACAAATCGAAGCGCCCCCGACCTGGATGTAGCCAGAGCCCACTCTACCCCCCCCCCCCCCCCCCCCCCCCCAGAATCACAAGGCTCATATTGACATGATTACAACACATTATTTAAAATGTATACCCCAAATATCCGTCAAATGCTCACAACAGATTCTTTCCGCTCTGGGTGTCATACAATTTTGCAGTTTTTAAACAAAATCTTATGAACATACCTACACATTTTTGTTGAATTTATGAGAGCATGAAACGGCGAGACGGTATTTTAATACCAAAAAAAATGTATCTGCAAAAATAAATTAAAGACTTGTGTTTTATGTGTATTTCTTTTTAATAATAGAAGTATTTATAAAAAAAAAACGTTAACATAGTATTGTTGTGGACATTTTACAGACACCCAAGCCTGGCCTTGCGTGACATCATCCCCACTGGATGGCCGACCTATGACCTTCTCCATGCCCAGTATCTGGACTTCAACGAGAGCCCAACAGTACAGACACATCTGATGAGAGAACAACGGGAACTCTGGGAAAAAACGGTCGCCTCACTCATCGCCAGATCGCAACATAACACTCCTAATCACAGCGACCCTTGCAGTTAATGATTAGGGTCTTTTAAACAGAATGCATCATATTCTATAATTGTAGCGCTTTATTTCATATATATATATATATATATATATATATATATATATATATATATATATATATATACATATATATATATATATATATACTACTAAAACTCAAGTTTGATTACATGTTTGAATATTTATTTGTTTGTTTGTCTGATTTCTTACTGTAAAGAAACTGCTTTATATGGGGGGGGGGGGGCTGTAAAATAGTATGTAGGTAGAGAATAATTTTTTTATTGCAGACAGACTGTTAATCACACATTTATTTAAAGACGTTAATTAATTTATATATCTATTCATAGGTAGATTAACCAATTTTTTTTAAAAGATTAGAAAAACCACTACACTCGACGGAAACAGTGACATCACATGATGTGTTTATTTTTTTACATCAATAATGGCGGCCTATCGAAGAAGATTGTGTTCCCATTCCAATGTTTAATTTTCTGTCGGCTTTAACTTTAACAATACGTCCCTTTGCTGTATTTATTACGTTCCAACACTTTTCAACTGTCTTTTTCATTTAGTTTTACGATAAATTTCTCTAGATCTACAATCTCTCCAAGAAAGTTATTTATAGATCTAGATCTAGAATCTAGGTCAAATCAAATATTTATTTGTTATAAATAAAAAATAATAAAAAAAAAACGAGACTTAAGCAAACCAGTCGTAGATCTAGAATATAGATAATTCTATTTAGATTTAGATAATAATGAATTTCTATAAACTAAAATATTTTAGACCTTTATTATTTTGTATAAATCTTTGTTTCGACTATGCTAATTTTGAAATGCTGGATCTAGGGCCTATTTGCGTAGCTTAAGATTCATACGCGGATTCGATACCGGTAATTTTGCTAAATTCTAAACGTAAATTCTAAATATAGCTCAGCTGTAGATCTAAAATATAGATAATTCTATCTAGATTTAGATAATAATGATTTTCTATATACTAAACTATTTTAGACCTTTATTATTTTATATAAATCTTTGTTTGGAATATGGTAATTTTGAAATGCTCGCTCCAGGGCCTATTAGCGTAGCTATTAGCTAATGATTAGATCTAGATTCTAGATCTAGCAAGAAAAACTAAACTTAAGACTTAATCAAACGAGTCGTAGAATCTAGATCTAGATAATTCTATCTAGATCTAGATAATTTCAGACCTTCTTTATTTTATATAAATCTTTGTTTGGCTAATTTAAGATAAAATTTAATTTGAAAGTTACTACTACTAGACTTAGATCTAGATCTATGCGCGTAAATCAATTGCATAAGGAGATTCAAAGTATCAAAGTTTAGTATAAAAATTCACTGGTGACGTCACGAGTTAATAGCCAAGTTGGTAGTGTAATCGGCTCTCATGCGGGTGGCACAGGTTCTAGACCAATACAACAATGATATTTTTTTTTCAATTTTTTTTTTAGATGTGAATGATAAAGTTGCCTATCTGAACTTGGCAGGATACAGGGCAGGTGAAGTAGAGTTCATCTGTTTCTTTGTTCTAAGCATATGAAAGGATAGTGTGGTCAGAGACATGCTCGGCTGGAATCGTTTTTTAAACGATAAAAACATGTTGTCTGAGACTTGGCGGGACACTGGGCAGGTGAAGTAGAATTGAGTAGGTCACCTGTGAAGTCAGTATATGAAGGGATAGTCCGAAATTGGTGTTTTCGGTGTTTTTAAAAGATAAAAAACATATTTTTGAATGTGGGGTCTGTTTTTTGTGACGATAAGTGACACTGCAGTAGCGTAGCGAGGAGCGGGGGGGGGGGGGGGGGACATATGTCCCCGGGCGCCGACTTAGGGGGCTACAAATTGGGTTGGAAAAATAAATCGAAAGGTTGAGGGGGGTGCAAATCGAAAGTTTGAGTGGGGGGGGGGGTTCAAATCGAAATCTTGAGGGAGGGTGCACATCAAAAGTTTGGGGAGGGGGTTGCAAATCGAAATCTTGCGGGGGGGGGGGGGGGGTTCGAATTGAAAAGTTTGTCCCCGGGCGCCGGGAAGGGTCGCTATGCCTCTGAGTGACAGGCGTGATGTTTTTTGATAGATGACCCCCGAAACCCAAAGTTATCCAACGGATGACGGGTAGTCTAGTATATATATATATATATATATATATATATATATATATATATATATATATATATATATATATATATATATATATATATATATATATATATATATATATATATATATATATATTATATGAATAGCTCATACTATTAAACTAGAGAATAAATTAAAGCCCTAATCAGCAGAATCAATATTTTTTTTACGAACTGAATTCAGTCAATTTTTTTACAAAACAGATGTATCATCAGTAGATTGCTAGAAGCCATTGTATGTAATCTTGTTTAAATCTGCATAAGCTATTACAATACTTAACAATGAAAATAAATTTAAAATTAACCAGCCTATTGGAAAATTCTATATTCCACAGATCTCAGATTTTTTTTAATAAGGTGGCTGATTTGAATTACATTATTTTATTTCATTCATGCTATTAAATACCAGTATTTTTAACAATGGTATTTTCATTCTTTTTTTCTAGTAATTGCTTATACATTAGTGGATACAAGCTGAGCATTTTTGTATGAAATAAAACAATTATATGCATACACATTTACATATATTTACACATACTATATGTATATATGTATATATATATATATATATATATATATATATATATATATAATATATATAATATATATATATATATATATATATATATATATATATATATATATATATATATATATATATATATATATATAATACAATGGTATCTCAACATACCAGTGCCCTAATATACGAGATTATTTTAGATACAATCCATCAAGCAAGCAATGTTTTGCTTTAAAATAGAACAAAAATTTGAGATACATGGTAACGGTTCAAAGTTCGTGGAAAAGAAATACTCTAAAAAATAAGCAACTGATCGAACATCAATCGGAGATATTTAGTGACACCAAACACTTCTAAAAAAATTCTGGAAGAGAAAAGAGAAAAAGATAACTAAACCAAATTTAGCTAATAAGTGTACAGTAGCAATTAAGTTAATGTCAGTTCAATAAATTTTTATAGGGAAAACTGCTTTGAGATACGAGCAATTAGACATAGGATTAAGGTTATGGAACCAATTAAATGTGTATCTCGGTATACCACTGTATAATATATACATATATATATATATATATATATATATATATATATATATATATATATATATATATATATATATATATATGTGTGTGTGTGTGTATATATATATGTATATATATTTATACAAATGTATATATATATATATATATATATATATATATATATATATATATATATATATATATATATATAGAGAGAGAGAGAGAGAGAGAGAGAGAGAGAGAGAGAGAGATTTATACAGAGAGATGTATATATTTTAAACCTACTTTACTTATGTTGTTGTTATTTTCTAAAATTTAAAATAATAGTGAAACTTGATTGATAAAAAAAAAATTCTATCTCATTATATTTAGCTACTACATATCACATGATTATTGGAGGTAAATGACAATTGAAGACCGCATTCTGAAAATATTGCTACCATTCAATACGTTATAAAACTATACTTTGGAACTGGAAAATTTATGTTTTTCCCTACGTTGTGATTTAAAGAAACCACAATTATATTTATCATACACAAAATCTATTTTTTTTTAAATATGAAGGCAAAATACACACAATCTAAAACAAAAATTTCAAGTCGAAATGTTTGCCATGTAAATTTGTTTTTTTTTACAATAATATTAGCACATAGATTCAGAGTTTCTTCCAGGCATCTCTTGGGGGGGGGGGGCCTAAGCCGTAATTTTTGTGACGATGTCTGATGAGGGGGAGGGGGATGTGACGTCACACTTTTGTATTATAAAAAAGCAATGTTAGAAAACAAGTTTTAGCAGCTATTTCGCGTTTTAGAAAACTGTTTTAATAAATTGTAATAGTAATTGATTCATATACTCTATGTTGACAGAGTTCAGACAAGATTTTGGAAAAATATCTATGCTTTAAGAAAGATTCAACTGCAATTTCGAGGGGGGTATAGGCGGAGGCGTGATGTCCTTAGGGAGGGGGGGGGGTCTGGCTTTATGAGACGATGTGTGACGGAGGGGAGAGGGGGAGGTACTAATCGTCAAAAAACGTGACGGCATTTATGGTTGACCCCAGAGACTTCAGGACATCAGGACTTGAAATGCAAATAGTATTCCATGTCGTTTGTAAAAAGCTCGTTCAGTTAGTTAGATGTTTGAGTTGCGCAACGGTTAGAAGTGACGCGATTACACAGGCGGATCCTAACGTTTGAGTGTGAGGATATTTGTAGAAAATATAAATTTACACGCACATTCACATAAATAGGCGTAGATCTCTCTACATATGCGTATACATATATATATATATATATATATATATATATATATATATATATATATATATATATGTATGTATGCGTGTACTAACATATGTAGGTATTTTTTATGTTTTTGTGTATGGACGTGTATGTTAGAGAAAGTGTGTGTATGGATGTATACATGATGTCTGTATTTATGTATAATACTACGAAGTCAAGAATCCGCCTCCGACATGAAAATGTTTTTTTAAGACGCTGACTGTAAATTTGTAGACTATGGTTCGTATTTCACCTGTCCCAGAGTAAAGTTAAATAGAAATCGAAATGACTTGCGGTTGTATAGAGGTTTCAACGAGTCACGACAAACCCTCATTCCCCCCCCCCTATATATGCCCCTTATGTCACCAAAGATCACATGAAAAGCTGTAGTTGGTTTTCGCGACCTCTACTAAACAAAATCGTGTGTACGACGTTGGATATGAAAAAACCGACCTGACGTTACGTGGCTATCAAGCAATGATTTACTGAATTTGTATTGTTAAATTTATTCACCGTTTGTTTTAAAGGAAGGTTTGTGTAGTTTTTTGCTTTGATAATTTAATTATTTTTTTAAAGCCAATACCGACTACTATGTGAACAATAGGTATATAAAATGTCAAAACGGGTGTCTGGAAATAATAATTATTAGTGGTAATACCTTTTTTAGGATTCCATCTATACCTCGTTCGTCACGTTCAGCATCGACCCTGTACCGAAACTCACTTTACAACATATGGTGGAGCAGCGGGGTGTGATGGAATATAGATGGGACAAGGCGACTCTATCCATTTCCATAATTTGGTAAAACCTTAGTTTAGCGTCGGAAATTATCGGGTAATGTTTGTTGAGTTTCGGTAACTAGAGTTACGGTAAACCATGGTTTATTTGATCAGTGAAATATAAATAAATTGAAAGTCGATTGTAGTAAATTGTTTTATTTTTTAAACTTAATCGACAAAAGGAAACAAGAATAACTATAATATTATATTTAAATTAGTAGATCTAAAAATTTAAAAAAAAAACATATTAATATAAATGTAAATAATGAAGTAAAATGTAATAATTTAATGTTTTTGGCTTGCAGCGGATTTGCGACCATTAATTAATTAGATCTTGCTAGATATCTAGCTGCTGGGCCAAGTAAAAAAAATCTAGATTACGAAAATAGTTAAAATGATTACAAAATGTAAAAATAATTACAAAAATAAATCTATCCAAATTTTAAACATTCTGTATAAAAATAAAAGATGACGTCAAATAAAGTATGGTTTACAGTACTTCCGGTGAATTCCGGAAGTGTGTGACAGACTGTGGAATTGTTTTACTGTTTTTTACTGCTATGCGATTCCGGAATAATAACCGACGCTAAACTAAGGTTTTACCCATAATTTTATTACATTAATCCATACAGCTACATCAACAGCAGACACAGAACGAAGACTTCCTAACACAACCTCACATGACGACGACAAGAACAAGACTCACTTCCAAATATCTTCATAACAACCAAAACATTCTCTCTTACGTCACATCCTTATTTATTCACGCATTTTATTAATACCGCTACACACATACTCTCAAACCATCCACAACTTTATTAACTCCATTCAACTACACACATACTCTCAAACTCATTTAATACACTTAAGTCCATTCACAACATATATGACACGTACTCTTACTCGTAGACGTATACAGATCAACATTCAAATATAGGCCTATATAAGAAAAAACAAAATACATAAACAACAAAAACAATTTTACGTACATATACACACGTATGGACATAGATATGGACATGGACACTCATTGACACGTACATACACGTGCATTTATCCACATACACAGTCTCATACATAATCTAATAAACATGCATATACACATACACGTACATGAACCCATACACATAATTAGACATATATGCATGCATCCTGAACACCATATAGATCTATAGATCCTAACGTTGAGCCTGCTGTGAAAAGCAAAGTGTCCCCCTGAGGTCAATGTAGATCCTTACTTACGGTTTTTAGTTGTTGTTTTTTTTTTACATTTTAACAGTACTGTAGATTCAATAAGAGTAGTTCAATATTGCCCAATTTATTTTATATTTTACTGCATTCATTGCTGTTCCTAATATACCAGCAGAAATGCTTGCAGTGTTGTGTTACGTACTGGTTGTGTTGTCAACGTTGGTGGATTCCGCCACCCTGATAGTAGACACACCCCTGGGGAAGATCCGAGGACTGGAGGTGACAGCCAACAACAGCAAGACCTACTGGTCCTTCCGTGGGATTCCCTACGCCAAACCTCCGCTTGGAAAACTTCGCTTCGCTAAACCCGTGGCTTTGACTTATCAAGGTACGTGTTTAATTGAGGTTTCTAGAAATGTGGTTGTGTTCTCTAGATAATAAACCTAGCTAATGCACGGCGCAGGGCTAAAATCAACCCGTTGTCGACTTTAGTATATCCTAGTCTAGATTGTTACGATTCCGTAAACGTTGATTTATATGCACTTTGGCTGGATCTAAAGCACGAATTTAGTGTTAATGTTTTTTTCAAATATTTTTTTCTATTGTTTCTGTCTTGCAGCGCTTTATTTTTTTTTTAGCGAAATTATATTATGACAATTCTTTGGACCTAATAAATAGCGAATTAATTAAAACAAGCATTGGTTAGAAAAAAACATCTTTTAAAAATGTTTTTTTCAACCAACAAATCTGTTGGTCTGTTTTGGGCTCCCTCTTTTCTTTCGCCCACCCCTAGGGACTCGACTCAAGCGAGTGACGTGTCACATTTACATGCATCTCTTGCATTGTAAGTCATTTTAATATGAGCAGACATTATGCTCTTGCTCTGTACTTTCCCACAAGTCTGTGTAAGGTACTCTGTCTTGCCAACTTAATCTCAGGATCTGGCGGAGCAGTGACATGTTATATATATATATATATATATATATATATATATATATATATATATATATATATATATATATATATATATATATATATATATATATATATATATATTGTAATTTCATATAAACAGATAAAATCATTGACGGTACCGCCCCTGGGAAATCCTGCATCCAACCCCCGATGATACTGTCGAAAGACGTCACGTCAGAAGACTGTCTCATCCTCAACGTATACACCAAATACGTGGACCTTAACAACCCCAAGAAGGTCCTCGTCTGGATTCACGGTGGTGCCTTCCTGCTCGGCTCTTCTTCTATCGACGCCGGCACTTTCGTCACAGATCATGACGTCATTGTCGTGACGCTCAACTACCGGTTGGGGCTTCTGGGATTTTTCAGCACTGAAGACGACGCAAGTCCTGGGAATTACGGCCTGTGGGATCAGGCTATGGCTCTTAAGTGGGTCAAGTATAACATCGGAGCTTTCGGCGGTGACCCGGATGATATCACGATCTCAGGTGAATCGGCTGGAGGTGAGTCTGTTTCCCTGCTGTCCCTCAGCCCAGTGACGAAAGGTTTGTTCACCAAAGCCTACTCCCAGAGTGGAGCTGCGACTACTTCGTTTGCGAAGTACGGCAACTCAAGATCCGTGGCCCTGGAAATCGCCAAATCGTTTCATTGCTCAGATGGTCACGAGATTAAAGGGAACACAACCTCCTCCAAGTTGATAATCGATTGCCTCCGCACAATACCGGCCGGTGCTTTTGTTCAAATAAATCTTTTTGAAGAATTTCGACCGAAGATGAAACCCCGTGCTGACGGTGAATTCCTGCCGAGAACTCCACTCAGTCTCCTGAAAGATACCTTTTACCTGGAGAAGATTGGCTTCTACAACAGGACCTACGTCGTCGGTCTCAACAACAACGAAAAAACAACGGTACAACCTTTTCATTATGGAACACTGCAGGCAATTTTCGAAAACGTCACGCTAAATGACTCACAGAAAGAAAAACTTTGGCAAGACTATCAAAAGAAAACATACACAACCATTATCTCAGATGGTTTGGATCTCGAAACCCTCCCTAACCATATCTTTCAGACGGTAGTCGACTGGTATGAAGACAGAAACACTATTTACACGGCCATACCTGAGATAGTAACTGACCTACAGTTCTATATCCCGACCTTCCAGGTCTTGAACGCCATCGCTAGGAGCAAGACAACGGACGCCTGGCTGCTGTACTTTAACTACTACCCTCACTACATGAGAGGGGACTCCAGGGGGATGGTACACGTCTTGGACCTCACCTACTGGTTCGACACCCCAGCAGACGAGCTCCAAAAAATGCTCAGCTCCAAAACTCCTACCAACTTTGACGCCCGAGACAAAAGAGTAAAGGCGAGGTTAGCGGCCATCATTGCAAGCTTTGTAAAATTTGGGTAAGTATTTTATATATATATATATATATATATATATATATATATATATATATATATATATATATATATATATATATATATCTAATACTACTAAAACTCAAGTTTGTTTACATGTTTGAATATTTATTTGTTTGTTTGTTTGCCTGATTGACTATTGCTCATGGTTGCACTCATCAAGGAAAGCTGTAAAATAGTATGTAGGTAGAGAAAATTTTTTGTTTTAAGACAGACTGTTAATCACAAATTTATTTAAAGACGTTAATTAATTAATTGATTTATTCATACGTAGAGTAACCCATTTTTTTTTAAAAATGTTAAAACATTGACTAAACTTTGTGGGAATAGTGACGTCACAGGTTTTTGTTTACTCTTTAGTACAATAAAATGGCGGCGTCTATCGAAGAAAATTGTGTTCCCATTCAAAAGTTTAACGCGTTCTAAATCTAATTTTCTGTCGGTCATAACTTTAACAATACGTCCGTTTGCTGTATTTATTTCGTTCCAACACTTATATCAATTTTAAACTGTCTTTTTTCATTCAGTTTTACAATAAATTTCTCTAGATCTAAAGATCAGCTGTCGAAGGAAAGTTATGAATCTAGCCTAGATCTAGCCTAGATCTAGGTCACTAGACTCAATGTAAATTCTAGATCTAGACTTAATGTAAATTCTACATCTAGAATCTATTTCAGGCCTTAATACATCTAGAATCTATTTCAGGCCTTAATTATTTTATATAAATCTTTGTTTGGCTAATTTAAGATAAAATTTAATTTGAAAGTTACTACTACTAGACTTAGATCTAGATCTATGCGCGGAGACTCAAAAGTATAGTATAAAAATTCATTTGTGACGTCACGAGTAAATAGCTAAGTTGGTAGCGTAGTCCGCTCTCATGCGGGTGGCACAGGTTCTAGACCAATATGTCAATGATCTTTTTTTTTCATTTTTTTTTTTTTTTAGATGTGAATGATAAAGTTGCCTATCTGAACTTGGCAGGATACAGGGCAGGTGAAGTAGAGTTCATCTTTTTCTTTGTCCTAAGCATATGAAAGGATAGTGTGGTCAGAGACATGCTCGGCTGGAATCGTTTTTTAAACGATAAAAACATGTCTGAGACTTGGCGGGACACTGGGCAGGTGAAGTAGAGTTGAGTAGGTCACATGTGACGTCAGTATATGAAGGGATAGTCCGAAATCGGTGTTTTCGGTGTTTTTAAAAGATAAGAAACATATTTTTGAATGTGGGGTCTGTTTTTTGTGACGATAGCGTAGCGAGGAGGGGGGGGGCGGGAGGGGAGGCGGGGGGGGGGGCGGAAGGGGAGGCGGGGGGAGGTGGAGGGGGGAAGGGGGGGGGGGGGGCGGAGGGACATATGTTGGGGCGCCAAAATGGTTTGGAAAAATAAATTGAAAGGCTGAGGGGGGTTCAAATCGAAAGTTTGAGTGGGGGGGGGGGGGGGTGCACATCAAAAGTTTGAGGGGGGGGGGGGGGTTGAAAATCGAAATCTTGGGGGGGGGGGTTAAAATCGAAAAGTTTGTCCCCGGGCGCCGGGAAGGGTCGCTATGCCTCTGAGTGACAGAGGTGATGTTTTTTGATGGATGACCCCCGAAACCCACAGTTATCCAACGGATGACGGGTATTCTAGTATATATATAAAATTTCAACGCGAATATGTTTGCATGAGTACTGTGTAATCTTTAGTAGGCTTAAGTTTATGTAGGGGGAGAGAACCGCAGATTTAAATGATCCCACACAAGTGATCGTGCTTGGAGAACAAAGCGTATTTTACTCTCGAAGCCATCTGTTATTGTTTTGGTATCTGATTTCAAGACTTAGACCATGATTTTATTCAACACTTTTAGCTAGTTTCTTTTTGTTTCTGTTGTGAATGCAGCATCGAATGTGTGTGTCAATTATTCGACATCTGTACGAATCTGATTTATAACATAATAAGACGCCATTAAATTCAAAAGATCAGCTTTCACACGACTTAATTTTTTTTAAAGTTGTTTTCAAAATTTCTAACCTTTTACAGAAATTTGTTATACTCGATGGATTTGCCATAAAATATGCTCAAGTGTGAAGTTTAATGCTTTAATTAGTCTGTCTTCGATTTTATTGTGTCTGCCAGTATAGTATAGTGTTTCCGTTGATGCATCATTTGGTGAGGTGTCAGAAAATTATTTGTTGGACCGTGAACAATAGGCTGCGTTTATGAAAATCTTTTGTATTGCTACTAGCCTGGTCATTGAGACCGGTAGTATAAGAAGCATGTGGCCAGTGACAGATTAATGGAGGGGGGGGGGAAGCTGACCTAGATATAGTTAGAGCCTCTCCTCCCCCTGGATGTAGTTGGAGGCCCCCCACACACACACACACACTCACAGGGCCCCGACCTGGATGTAGCCAGAGCCCACTCTACCCCCCCCCCCCCCTCCACCGAATGTTGGCATGGCTAACAGAACCCCCAGAATCACAAGGCTCACGAATATTGACATGATTACAACACAATATAAAATGTATACCCCAAATATCTGTCAAATGCTCACAACAATGTCTATTCGCTCTGGGGTGTCATACAAATTTCTAGTTTTTAAACAAAATCTTATGAACATACCTACACATTTTTGTTGAATTTATGAGAGCATGAAACGGTGAGACGGTATTTTAATACCAAAGAAAATGTACCTGCAATAATTACAGACTTGCGTTCATTTTTTTTTATAAAAAGAATAGAAGTATTTAATTTAAGCCGATTACTTAATCTATAGGGACCTCACCTTTACTGAAAACCTGGCCACGTCTTAATTGTGGTATATCTAATAGAAAACTTATGATAAAAAGCGTTTTTATAAAGACCTTTAAAAAAAAAACTTTAACATAATATTGTTGTGGACATTTTACAGAAACCCAAGCCTGGCCTTACGTGACATCATCCCCACTGGATGGCCGACCTATGACCTTCTCGATGCCCAGTATCTGGACTTCAACGAGAACCCAACAGTACAGACACATCTGATGAGAGAACAACGGGAACTCTGGGAAAAAACGGTCGCCTCACTCGTAGCCAGATCGCAACATGGCACTCCTAATCACAGTGATCCTTGCAGTTAACTTAAACTTGGTCATTTGACGCAAACGTTTTTATCCTCTAAATAACTGTAGCGCTTTCTTTGGGATACACATTAGATGAATTGCTCATTCGATTAAACTAGAGAATAAATGAAAGTCCTACTCGGCAAAGTTAAAAATATTTTTATGAATCAAAATCAGTCAGTTTTCTTTTCTTATAAAGAGTGTCTTGAGTAGACTACTAGACTTCATTTTATGTAATCTTGTTTAAAACTGCTGAAGCTATTACAAATTTTGACAATCAAAATAAATATTTAATAAAAAAACAAGCTACTGAAAAACTATATATATTAAAAATCGTTAAGCTTCTGCTTAGACTGCTGTTGTATTTATCCTTTGCTTTTAAATAAACTTTTTTTAACTATCCATATTTTGTTTATTTCAATATTATGTTATACTTATATATATATATATATATATATATATATATATATATATATATATATATATATATATATATATATATATATATATATGGATGGATGGATGGATGGATGGACGGACGGACGGACGGACGGACGGACAGACAGACAGACAGACAGACAGACAGATTAGATAGATTAGATAGCTTAGCTTACTATACTAGAGAATTTCTCAAATTTTAAATAATAGCAATGAAACTCATTTGTTAAAAAATATTTCAAATTCACTTTAATAACTGACAGCATATCACATGATTATTGAAAATAAATGTAAATGTTTCAACCATTCATTATGATGTAAAACTATACTTTAGAAATGGTAAAATGTAAGTTTTTGCCTATGTTGTGATGTAAACAATCCACAATAAAATTTATCATAGACAAAATAAAAAAAAAAAAAAAAAATATGAGGGCAAAATGGTTGCCATAGAAAAACTTTTTTAAAAGGAATACCAGCACAGAAATCAAAAGTGACATTTAAAAAGAAATTTTACAAATTATTAATTAGATAATGAGATAAACTTTTTAAAAAAAATGTACTTGTATTACAGGCCTACATATTTTTAAAACATTATTTAACTATTGTTAAAGTTAATATGAGTAGCCATCTATAATACAAACAAGACATTTACTAATTTGATTACTATCTTATTCAGTACAATTGCAAGTAGTACTTGTAACATTTGGAAACAACTTGAAAAGAAAAATATTTCAAAAGGTGTATTAATCTGATGTATTTTTTAATTTATATCACAGGTGGATGAATATTACTGACTGTAAAATAACATGTTTAGAATAAACTTGTATCATTGCTATCTAATAATAATGAAAGAGCATATAAACTTCTGATTTCATAAAATATTATATTAAAAGAATCATTTAGGAAAATTGAAAGTGACTGTAGTTAAATTAAATTCCTAATTTTAAAAATAAATATGCATCTGTTTTTATCGAACTGGGTATGAAAATAATGATATGCCTTAAAATGGAATTTGAAACAAAATTGTATGATTTAAAAATTATTAAATACTGTTTTCTTCGACAAGATAAATCTACTCAGATGTTTTGCCTAGAAGATGTAGAGGATGGGAAGTAACTCTAATCAATTTGGGGATTGTGTTGAAATAGGAACTCTGCCTGCAAGAATAAGATAACAATTTTATAAGTTTAAAAAACAAATCCACAAGGTAAAAATATTTTTTGAATAGCATTTTAAAATTATTTCCATAGTAACATTTAAATTATACGCTAAGACAAATCTAGGAAGAACAATTAAAGAAAAATATTATTTTTGAGAACCAAAGTTCTATCAGACTATATAAACTGACTATTAAAACCTTTATATTCCAAGGGGAAACATAATCTTAAATAATAGACTTTACATGTAGTTTAAATTATAATAAATTTGTAGACAATAGTTATAGAATATAAGGAAACATACTCATTATAAAAAGTAGTAGACATTACAATTAAAAAATAGTAGTAGTCAGTAGATATAAGAAAAATTCATTAATTTACTGAATACTAAAAATGTTATTTTCCTGAAGCTGGAATCAACCAAAAACAAAACTTACCAGGTAATCTATGGGATCTTCTGGCCGAGTCTTACAGCAGTCAATTAGCCCTTGAGTTAATGTGGGCATGACATGTTTCATCAGGTAATTACGTAAGGGAATAGACTGAGCTTCTAGGAGTTCATATTCTTCTCTTTTGACTTCACTCAGTCGCTGAGACTGCAAGAAACAATTTGTTTCAAACTTTAAATTTAAAAATTAATGGCTGAAATGTAGTTTTAAACTTTAATAATGTTTGTTATTGGAATTCCCTTAAGTAATTTTTAGCTGTAGTTATGAAATAAACATCTTGCTATTTTGAAATGTAAAAAACCACAACTCATGATATATCAGTGTTAGTAAATTGTGCATTGAGTTACTTCCCTTCAACCAAGCAAAAAAAAAAAAACATCAAGTAAATAGCAAACGAGACTAACCCATTCTTCCTGCCTACTCCTCCTTTCTGCAAGCTCCTCTGCCTCTCTCTTTGCTTTTTCTTCCTTTTCTTCCATTTCTCTCTTCTCCCTAGTTTCTTCTTCAACCCTCTTCATCTCTTCTAGTTCCTCAGGTGTTGGACCTAAGTTTTAAAAAATGTATCAGATCAATTCTGAATGGTCAACCAAATCAAATATATTTTCCTCAAATTATGTTTGACCTGATAAAATTAAAGATGAGCTCTACCATAATTTCTGGGTGATCCAAAGATTTTTTTTATCCTTTCTACTGTCTCTCTCATCATCTCAGAGGTGTCTTTAGTTACATCTGTAAAACAAAAAAAATGTGAAATTATGAGATTGTAAAGTAAAAAAATTTGGAGCTTATTATTTTGGTTATGAATGGCCTTACATGATACAACCCAAACTGAAAAGTTCTCATTCTAGTAAGAATAGCATTTTTATTTAGTAATGTAAGTGGTAAGGAAGCAAAGAGACTTTTGTAGATGACAACTAGTTTTGTAGCTAAATGTGCAAAAAAAAACCATAATACAACCTTTATATTATATCCAGGTTTATTTTTTTAAAAATCAACTTTAGGCAGTTTTTTGACAAATACATATTCAGCTTTATAATTTATAAAAATTAAACATTGAAAATTAAATTGGTGTGTTTACAACTTGTTAATGAGGCTCATGTTAAATGCACATATTAAATAAACTAAATTTTAGTTACTTTTAAAACAAAATCCAACATAAATTAGCTGCTTCAAGTCTTTTTTACATAGTGGCTTTATAGTAGGCCTAGTATATTTGAAAATATTAAAATGCCTATAATAATTTATCATTTTCAGATCAATTCCAGTAAAACATTAGTTGCAGAAAAGACCATAAATATAGTAATTTATAGGTCTCAAAACAATGATTGAAAAAGGAAAATGCAGATTTTTTAAAACTTATAATGCTTGCTTATTATTTGATCAAGTTTTAAATTTAAAATATCTAAAGTATTAAATTTTGTGTACTTTTCACAATCTAATTGTTTGCATATTATATGATCAAGTTAAAAATATCTCAAGAAATTAAATCTTTTGTAGCTATCTTCTTGCTTACCTATTTTCTCTGGGTGGAATTCAAGCTCATCGAAATAATTGAGCACAGTGTCATCATCAGTGTTGATGCCCCTGTAATCTGCCAAGCGCCTCATCAACTCCTTCTCTGTGTTGTGGGTGTTAGCCACCACAGCCTCTGGCAGGTTCATGACGCGCTGCTTGAGGAAGTCGTCTGTGGACTCCAGGCTGATGACAAACTCTGGCATGATTTGTTTGTTGTAGTTCACAGACCCGCCTTCACCTCCATCCTCCTCTTCTTCTTCATCTGGAAATTGGAAATTACACTCATTAAGCAAATATTGTATTAATGAAAACACTATATTACTTTCTGAAAATTGGACATTACACTCATTAAGCAAAAATTGTATTAATTAAAACACTATATTACTTTCTGAAAATTGGAAATTACACTCATTAAGCAAAAATTGTATTAATTAAAACACTATATTACTTTCTGAAAATTGGAAATTATACTTAGTAAGCAAATATTTTTTTGATTTAAAACACTTTATTAATTATTTTCTTAAAGGCAAATGAATTCTATCCAGTTAGCTCTGACAGCTGATAAAACCAGACAAAGCAAGTTTATCTGGTTTTGTATTCTTGGCTTAAAAAGAGAATACATGACAAGAACCATGCCCAGCTATCCTTTTTATAACATATCCACGAACCCATCAGAACTATAGTGTAGTAGGCTACATCTGGACTCAGGTACCAAAGTCATTACTTTAACATTAACAATAATTCATTACCCCCTCAATCAAACCCCCTCCTCTTAATTAGTACTTAAAATGTGAAAATCACAAGAGAAATTTTAAGCTAAAGCTCCACTAAAGCTGTATTGTATTAAATATAATGTTAAATCTTACTTGAAAACAGCTCCTTGGCCTGAGCAATTGTTTTGGGAAAGCCATCCAACACAAAGCCCTGATTCTGACAAGGCATCGACTTGAGTTTGTCTTTGAGGAATCTGATCACAAACTGGTCCTCAATGCGGCCGTTGTTGTTTTCTTTGCTCTCATTGATTTGGTCCAGCAAATCTTGCGCTTCCTGTGCGCTGTTATCATCCTCTTCAGTGTCCTCTGTGTTGGCGCGGTTAGCTTTATTTTTCTAAAGAAAATAATTAACAGTAACAATGTAATAATTATAAATATTGATTTAATACAAGTTAATTTTTTAAGCTTTTTTATAAAAAAAACAAGCAAATAAATTGTGAGCTATTGAAAAAAGTTGTTTTCTCTACCAAAATACAAATGCACCAAAAAAACGGAAAGAAAAGCATTATCTATTTGGTCAAAACTCAATATACACATATAATTTCTTTTGAAAGACGAATGGTGAAAATATAATTCAGTCATAAAATAACAATTTTTTATTAAATGGCCTGGTCACCTACCAAATTCTGCAACTCCTCCTCAATAACATCCTTTATCAAAATGTGGTGAAGTTTGAATATTTCACACAGCTGTTTTGCAACGGTTGTTTTGCCAGATGCAGGTGGTCCTAGGACAACTGCACGGAGGGGCTGGATTGAGATTTTTAAAAAAACACTTGTTTTAAAGGTGGGAAGTAGTGACTGCTACAACTATATTCTTTTACAAAAGAACTCTCATTTCTTATTCACGTTCCAAATGTTTAGGTGATGTAAATATTCTCCTTCTATCTAATTCTAACTTCTTCATAGTATCAACAATAAATTTAAATTAACAGTTGAATTATTATTAATATGACAGGAATGCTAAGATTTAGTTTACATTACTTCACAATTATTACACTTAGAATTTTTACACAACACATAGATGTCCCACTCTAAGACGGTGATATAATGATTCAGCTGATTACCTCTCAGGCCCATTGATTTAATTATTCAACTCTCTAATATTCAGCTAATTACCCATCAAGCCCTGTGATCTGATTATTCAACTCTCTAATTTTCAGTTAATTACCCCTCAGGCCCAGTGATTTAATTATTCAACATATTTCCCGACCAAAACCAGTATTTTAATTACTCAACTACTGATTACCTGCAGACTTCTGGTGTCCTTGTATTCCTTTATAATGCTGTTGATGTTCTCTATCAAACCAGCTTCAGAGACCCAGTTCAGCCGCATGCTCTCTTTCACAAACACAGCATCCATGCGCAGGTTCACAAGTAGCATGTCAAAGTCTGCTTGCTACAAAATTGACAAGATAGTAAATATTCAACTTCATATGTGAATTGTATTTGTTTAAACACATAATATAGCTTATGACTGCTAGCACAAAAAGCCTCAAGTTCAGATAGGGCTCGAGTCTGTAGGACGACCTGAGTTGACCTGCTCTGATGGGTGCCTGAGTCAATTTAGGGAAATTAGGCAGGTGTGCATAGTGATGAACACATTATTCCTGTATGCAGAGGTCACTGATATAGAGGAACTCTCCTTCATCTGCCCAATGAATCTTGGGCACAAACAGGAAAAGATTATGAACCACATTATTCAGATTGGTTTACTCTAAATAAAATTACACTTAAAGTGGCAAAGCTAGTGAACAGAAGCTATGTGCATAATCTTACACAAACCACAATTTACATTCTAACACTGTTTGAATCATGCTAGATTTATAATGTAATTTTTAAAAATAAGTTCTAATTTCAAATAATGATTTCTCTTAAAGTAATGGACTTACCTCAATATCTTTGCTAAGCAAAGCTTCTTCCTTGGTTATGTGTTTTATTTTCCCTGATCCAAGGCTGGTACTCACTGTCTAGATTTCAATGAAAAAGCATACATGTAGCTCTAGGTAAACTTCTTTTAAAATATGATTTAAAATATAGTGATCAAAAAACTATTTAAAATATTGGCTAATTTTCATTGTAATTTGTTTGCTAGCATGAGATCAGAAGTTTCTTAGCTCCAGCCACAAGAAGAGCTGTATTTAATTTGTTTGAGACCTTCCCTGTGACATTTAAGTCAAAGTGTAATGGACTATAGTCAATTTAAAATGCTAAAAAAGCACTCGTAAGTCAATATGAAATTGCTAAAAATACACTAAAGTCAATTTACAATTTATATAAAATAAAGTCAATGTAAAGTAAAAGTAAATGAACAGCTGTAATTGAGTTCACTAAAGTCAATGTAAAATTCCTATAAAGTAGACAGAATTAAATATATGGCTGCTATAGTGTTCACTTAAGTCAATGTAAAATTGCTATTAAGTAGACAGAATTAAATATACGGCTGCAATAGTGTTCACTTAAGTCAAGTCATGTTGAAATCTCCTAGCTCACCTTCACAATGTCTTCCAAGGTGCTTTGGGCCTCATCCTTAGCAATTATATACCTCACTTTTGGCCTGGCGTCTGCTATGTTTTGAATTATTCTAAAAATATTTAAAATTTAAAAAATTAAAAATAGTAAATAGATATATTAACTTATATTAACTTATATTAACAACTTACTATTCAAAAGATAACATATTTATTTATTTTGTGATAATTTTACATAATCTTTGCAACGAACAAAAAGTTAAATAAATATGAATAAAAACTTACGCAGCAAGATCTTTTATATGAATAGTGGGTACAATGTTTTTTCCATCTCCAAAACATTGCAATTGTGCAGCATTGTGCCATGCAGACTGTAAAACAGATATCCCATTATTCATAAATATAGTCATAAATATATGGAATATAAAGGCTTTAGACAAACATGAATTATGCAAGTATTTAATCTTAGCAGGTGAAAATATAGAAACAGTGTTTAATTTAGTTAAACCACTTTGTTATTAATAAAATTGCATTTATATTAAGTTTGCATTGAAATTAGCATTGATAACAGACCAATACTTATCTTACATTATCATACTCTCTTTTATTTAGAAAAAATTAAACAGAGAAGGAATTATTTTCCCAAAGATTACATTGTCATTTGTTCTTTTTTTTTAAATACCAAAAAAAAAAGATATTTGATTTTTTTAAAATCCTAATCAATAGATAATAAATCAGGTGTATGTATATATAGGTAATGTTATAGATAGGCCTGCAGATATATATAGAGAGGGCAAAAAGTATCTCCCAAATATGCAGGCACTATTGTAATGATCAGTGTGTATACATTATGATTTCATTAGATAAACCTTTACCTTGAACAGGTAATGAAAAATATTTTCCTCTGCACCATATGCCAAGCCAGAGCAAACTACATAAGTCACAAGTTTGGTCTTATTCTGAAAGTACAAGACAAATACAATTTTCACTCAAATAGATCATATAAAATGAAAGTCATATTACACAATACACAAAAAAAAATTTTCCACCAGAGTGCATTATAATATACATGTTTCAGAAATCATCACATTTAATAAGAAATTTCAGACTGAGAACCCGAGTGTGGGTCTTAAAACAAAAGTGGTAAATACATTTAAAAAAACTAAATAAAGAAATCTCACTGTTTTGCCCAGCTTGATCACAGTTTTTTCAGCACTAATGTGTTCTTTGAAATTAGGATGTGGTTTTCTTCGCCTGTAATCATCCTCAGTAAATGGAATTTCAGGATCTTCCTGTTACATTAATACAAAAAAATACAAATACTAATGCATACAACACTATATATAATTTATACAGAGTTTACCCACTTATCTCACGGTTACTAAAACTTTAAGAAGTTTTTAAACTATCACATGATTTTTTGATATTTAAATTTTAATACTTTGTAGTTTTAAGTTTATTTTTATGAGGTTTTAAGAAATTGTTTTTCAATACTGAACCAGTCAATTTTATAAAGCTTTTGACAAAGAATAACATAAATGAAAAAACGAAATGTGACAAAATTCTTTAACAAAAGTAATTATTCACATTCAATGACAACATTTCAAAAGTGAGAAAACATACTTTGAAGCAATAATGAAACAATCATAACAAATCACAAATTCTAATTGATGTGACTGCTAATGTGAACTTGATCAATATGTGAAAATTATTTAAAATACATACATTGTCTTTATCTTCCTGTTGAAATAGTTTAACAATATACCCAACTGCTCATTGTTTTCAGTACTTATTTTTCTAAAAAGCCATTTAAAAAATAAATAACTTCTATGAAAATCTCTATTTGTCTAAAACAGGTGTTATCCCAAAAAGCTAATTTTTTTAACATTTTAATTTTAAAAACACAATGTCATCGCGCTCATTATGTAATACAAACAAAACAATAATGGCATTTCATAACTTGCAATGAACCTAACAAGGCTAATATAGAGTTGTATACTACTAAGATAATTTTTAACAATAACTTGCATTGGACCTAACAAGACTAATGTAGATTATCATAACACTAAGATAATTCTTAACAATAACTTGCAATAAACCTAACAAGACTAATATAGAATTTAAAGTACTAAGATAATTCTTGACGATATTAAAAATAACATGACTTACAGGATCCAATGGTTTACTTTTAGCCCAGGTCATACAAGTGGATATAAGGATGAACATCTTGGACTTTTCTATTTTATCCAGATCAGAGTTCAACTCTGTGAATTCAAATTTAAATACATCAAAAATTTTAATATTTTATGCGTCGTTAATTTTAATTTGTTTTTTCACTTGACGCTATAAATATCTGATGACTAAACATAAATACAGTGAGATAACCTAACTGCATACCACTTACAACATGGCACTAACCTGAAATTGCCCAAACAGCTTCATCAATTTGATCTGGGTCTTCTGTTATGTCATAAATGATAATGTCACATTCCACAATGTATTCATACAATTGATCCTTGTTTTCAAACTGACAAAGACAAAATAAAATATACATTTTTATCTTTCAAAATAAAATTAGGGGTCGGCGTGGTCGAGTCGGTAAAGCTCATGGTTGCTAAACCGAAAAGTCTCGAGTTCGAACCCTCGGGCAGATGAGGCTCATTAGCTGGGGACAGCCACTCTTCTAGGAGGGACAACTCCAAAATTAAACAACTGCTGCCTTGTAGATTGTTCTTGATTGGACAAAGGCTATGGAAGCAAATCCAAAAAGAAAAGCAGGCTGAAATCGGAGTCAATGGCCTCAATGGCGCATAACCAGTTGACACGTAACGCTTAATTGTGTTGGAGGCGTGGTCGAGTCGGCAAAAAGCTCATGGTTGATAAATTCGAACAAAGTCTCGAGTTCAAACCCACTGGCAGATAAATCTCAATCCCCTTCAACACTAAAATTAAGAACGAAGAAGAAGAAGAAGAAAAAATAAAATTAATACAATTTAAAATCTAAACAGTCTATTGAACGTATATCATTTATCGAGAGATGTTTTGTATACTTTGTTAATAGTTATAAAGTCCTTGTATATATGCCATACTTAAAATTTCTAAAGTTGGTCTAGATGGAAATGTTATTTTGTTTACCACTACAACCCAACGCCTAATTCCAAATGCTAACACCCTGAAGGTTAAAGTTAAAGTATCATAATTAGCTATTTCCGTTTCATGGAAACAGCTTATTAATAAAAACCCAATCAATTAATCTATATTCTAAGTATTTTATGCCCAATGTACTTAAAATGCAGAATATGTAGCTATATAATCACCACTCACTGTAATGATTTCCTTAGCAAAGTCAGGTTTAGGTTTTTCCTTATCTTTGAGTGTGCCGACGATTTCATAGCAGCCTTCTTTTGTTTTCTCAAACAGCGATGTTTGGGACTGGTTATCTTCCTCCTCTACTTCCTCTAAACTTGCACCAACTACACACCGCGAAAGATACTGCAAACAAATGTGAATACAATTCATTAGCTTAATTGTTAACAATGTAAATTGCAGTGTCCTTAAAAATCAGAAATGTTAATAAGTTTCACCAAGCATATGAGGTTTGTTAGCTGGGGACCGCAACCCATCTAGGGGAGAAAACTCTAAATGTTTGTTAATTTCACTTAGTTTTTATCCTTTGACCTACGCTTACATTACTAATTAGTAAACTAAGTACATGGAATCGGACATGTGTTTGCTGTGGCGGGCGATGCTATGCTTGTTGACTAAACAGCATGAGCAAGGAGCTGTCTGCCACGCGAGGCCTGTGACAATGTCTGGAATGCATTTTTCACACTCTCAGATGATTGATTTTAATGCGATGACATTTTTTAAAAAGAAAAATCTATTAAATTAACAAAATAGTTATACTCTGTAAAGTAAATATTAATTTGGGAGTAAAACTAAATGGGGTAACGAAATCAAATGTTCTGCACATCATGTTTAAAATCAAATGGACTGCATTATCGAGACTGCACAGCTTGCATCTTCAGACTGATCTGAGGTTGTCACGGAAAAAGATTTCCTGAACTGCTGTGGGTTGCAAATAAATGTAATAAATTAATTAAGCTCCAAATGAGCTAGTACCATCAAGTAAAGTGTTTAATGGATTAGATATTGATCTATATTTTTCATTGGCATTTTTAAATTGAAAAATAATTAGATTTAAAAGTTAATGAGCATCGCTAATACTTGATTCAATCTAACTATAATCTCTAGACTCTAGCTTAGGTTATGACAAGTAGTAGATCTAGAATCTTCTAAGCCCCTATAGATCTCTAGATGTAAAATCTAGTTTTTTATCCCTGTCAACAATAATGATTTTAATGATAGAAGGATTCTCATCATCTCGGTAGTGACAGTAAATACTAAATTACTAAATTTATCAATCCAATGTCTCACTCAATTAGGTAATCTATCGTTTTGGGTACGTAAAATCGCCCGCGACTAGTAATGTAAAAAACAGGTGACTCCTTCAATTTTAATAATTATTTCACATTTTGAGGAGGATTTATGTTTTAAAAAATACAAAAATGTTTCTTTGTTTCATTTATGTACCTGTTTTTAAACAATTGAATTAAAACTTTTCAGTAATAAATGAAGACTATCGATGTTTCCAACAGATGCAACCATGCTCATTTACTATAGCAGCCATCTTGTTAAAGTTTTATTTTTATAGACTGATAGCGCGAGATTCAGGCGGAAGTCACTCTATTTTACAAATGGCTGCTGTTTATATAGCAAACCTTGCTTGTAGACACTGCTGTTTAAAGTTAATTTCTGGCATATATTGATATATTCAGCCATTGATTTAGGTTTATTATTCATTTATCTATAATATTTGACACAAATATATCACAATATACTTCTACTAAAGCCTTGACAATGAGGTAACTTTTTCGTACATTAATAGCCGCGGGCGATTTTACGTACCCAAAACGATAGATTACCCTCAATTATTATTATGAACTCAATCAATGTCCATTAACCTGGGTTAATATTTTGCAGATCTAAGTTCGAAATTAAAACCGAATTCATCACTATGAGTTAGAATTGAAAAAATTATTACCTTTCCGATATTTTTTCCCTGAAAACTGTCGAGGTGATTTAAAAATATCTTTTTGCTTCTTATCTTTTCTTTTTCCGCGGGTTCCTCGGGACTCGCCATCTTGTTTTCGAGTGTAACTATTAGAAACAAACGCTTCCGGTTTGGTTACTTAAAATATAAAATCAAGAAATTGTACGCTGAATAAACTAGATCAGAATGTATTTTACTTCAAAATAACTTGTGTTAATATTGGGATTGAGGGAATGATTCACATTTTCGTAAGGAAATTTTAATCCAAATTAAATTTCCCAATAACATATATATATATATAGATCTATATAAGATTTTAAATAATTATTTTTTGTAAATTCATTCCTGTAAACTTTGGTTTTGTTACATAGCCTGTAGTCAATTGTCAGTTTTTAAACTACCCAGAGAGGGTGGGAGGGGGAGCAGAGCTTCCTTCATGCAAGCTTAAAGTATGCCCCCCCTCCCCCCCCCCCCCCCCCTGAAAAAAAAGTCCGAAAGAAACACTGAGGGGGGCGGTGGGTGGAGGGGACAAGAGTGTTAAAATAATTTTAAAACAGATGATTGGAATGTCATCACTGATGGCAGTTTGATAGAAAATGTTGCATTAGGGTGCAGGGTTTCCTTCAGACATTTTTCCGCAGGGAGGAAGGGGGTTGTGAATTAGAAAATTGAATATAGCCAATAAAAATTTAACGTAATTTATGAATAACATCCTTTCATGAATCAAATACTATCAACTATTCTATACATTCTATACTAAAAATAGAAAGGTCAAGGTTGCATTTCCGTTTATTCGGGGCATAAATAAAATGTTATGTGTACTGCATTGCACCTGAGTCAGTTAAGGTTAGAACTTACCTGTGTCTAACTTGCAGTCTGTTGGTTGAGTTTGCTCTGTGTCTTGGCTTCGCCAGTAACTTCAGGACCGAACAAAGATCTGATGGTAAGTTGAATGAAAGGGTATTGTGCGTAGGCCTACTCTTGATGTTTTGTTTTGTTTTTGTACTAGCTGCAGCGAGTTTTATTATGAGGATCTACAAGACATAGTGGAATTAAGATTTTCAATAATAGTTATACTATTATCGTGCTTCAATAATAGATTGTGTTTAGTGATAATAAATGTGAATTAGAATGTTTAGATTCCTTCTTAAGAAAATAGCATCTGTGTCGAACTCAGACAAAATAATAAATATAAGTACTTTGCATTAGTTAGTGATTTATAAACAGTCTAAATTGGACAAAACTATTGCATGATTCCTTACTTATTTCATATTTATCCCCACCCCTCTCAACAAAACATATCCTCCTTACATCCATAGTTGTAAAGGTAAGAAGTAGGGCTAAGATCTCGATGCAGGGTCGATAGTTTTATAGGTAAGATGTAGGTCTAAGATCTTGAAGAAGAGTAGTTTAAAGCAGTGGCGTAGCGAGGTCGGGTGTCACCCGGTGCGGCCCTTAATGGTGTCACCCCAGATTTGCACCCCTCCCTCAAACGTTCGATGTGCACCCCACCCCCCTCAAACTTTCGATTTGCACCCCCCCCCCCCTTCTACACCCTTGTCGGGATTTGTCAAATTTGCTCTTAAAAAACTTTTTAACACTCGAATTAATCACTTAATTAAGTGGAATTATCATTTTTCTCTATATATTTTGCTATTTTTTGCCTTGGTGTCACCTCCCTAAATGGTGTCACCCGGTGCGCCCCGCACACCCCCCCCCCCTCGCTACGCCACTGGTATAAAGAGTAGGATGAAATTCTAAGATCTCGAAGTAGAGAGATTTTAGGGGTACGATGAAGGCCTAGATATAGGGTCTGTGATTTTTGGGGAAGGATGTAGGTCTAATATCTCGATGTATAGGGACTGAAGTTTTAGGTGTACGATGTATAACTAAGATCTTGAAGGTTCCATTATACTGCCGTACCGCCTCAAGCAATGCTCATTAGTTAGGAAGGCTGGAACAGGGTTGATAATTTCTCACTCATGTTAACGGCCGCTAGACCTGTGGGTTCCAGCAAGGCTTTTCCTTCCAACTACGATGCATCACACCCCTAGGCTGAGGTGTGTATGTATGGGGTCTATATTTAGTTATATTTGTGTAATTTTAGTTGTTGGAATATGACTAGAGGTTGGTGAATTCCGGACAAAGCCTTGCTTCGATATCAAAACAAGAAGTGTTGCGACACATTCCGGCACCCAGGGCGAACTATTAATTTTACACCCCCTATATTTATATATTTATTTACGTTGACGAAAAAGCTTCCCCCCCCCCCACCACTCCCACCAGTCACACATGACATCTTTTTCTCCTTATTACACAACCGCAGAGGCGTAGCGAGGGGGGGGACATATGTCCCTGGGCGCCGACCTTAGGGGGGCGCCAAATTGAAAGTTTGAGGGGGGTATAAATGAAAAGTGCGAGGGGGGTGCAAATCAAAAGTTTGAGGAGGGGGTGCAAATGAAAAGTTCGAGGGGGGGTGCAAATCGAAAAGTTTGTCACCGGGCGCCGGGTAGGGTCGCTACGCCTCTGCACAACCGCACTTAGAGCCAAGTGGCATTCTATTACTTAATGTCTACTTTAATGCAGCTCAAAATAAGTTTTTTATTGTATTTTTCTATCCAATTTGGCGCCTCTTGGGGTCGGCGCACGGGGTGGTCGCTCCTCCCCCCCCCCACACCCGCCCTCCCCTAGCTACACCTCTGATCAAAACGCGACATTTAGGAGATCGTGGACTATTATTGATTCTCGCTGTCTAGATAAAGTAGAACGAAGCATTAAGTCTAGTGCCTTTTGCATCTTAAATTCAACGGGCAAAAATAACTAGTGATTGACTTTATAACATGCGGCAAATGTGTGTACAGCTTACGATTTGGTCTCAACCCAACCAATGTTTGTTTACAATCAAAAGATGCTGCTCAGCTGTCTGGCATCTGTCATTCTAACGGTCAGCTGCGTCACGGCTGTTATGGTGGACTCACCGTTTGGTCGGGTCAAAGGTCAGGAGATAACAGCCAAGAATGGGAAGAGTTTTTATTCTTTTCAAGGCATACCCTTTGCTAAACCACCTGTCGGGGAGCTACGATTTGCTAAACCTGTAGCACACCCTAAGATAGGTACGTTCTAATATATTCATTAACTACATGATTTTAAGTAATAGAGACTATCTGAATTCACACCCTTTTGCATCAATGATTGGTTATTATTTGACTGAATGTAGATTTCGATTAGAACATGTGCGTTGGTGCCCCTAAACTAGAGAAGCTAAGATTTACATTACTTGATGAGCATCAACAAGCATGTTTATTTGTCGTTTTTATAAACTAGATGACTATTTGAGACGATCTAAATTGAAAAACACTATTGAAGAATACTTTTAAAAAGAAAGAAAAAAATATATAGATGAAGTAGAGTTTACCTGTTCCAAGCAGCATTTTAGCTTGACTTTAATGCCTAGCTAATATGTATCTCAATTAACATAAATCTATGATTGCAAATGTTGACGCTATTTTTCTAGTTTAAAAATAGCTTTTATTTTACTCTTCAGTCGGCACACTGGAAGCTATTGAGATGAAGCCTTCTTGCATTCAGGACCCCATGTTTCTTGCACCCGGCGAAGATATGTCTGAAGATTGTCTCTACCTAAATATTTACGCCAAAGAAATCAGTTCAAGGAAAGAGCCGTCCAAAGTCTTAGTGTGGGTTTATGGTGGGGGATTTTTCTACGGGTCCTACTTCATGTACAACTGCGAGAGCTTTGTAACCAATCATGACGTCGTCGTGGTGACGATTAATTACAGGATAGGAGCATTGGGATTTCTGAGCACCGAAAACGAGGCTAGCAAGGGAAATTACGGCATGTGGGATCAGGTTTTGGCATTGAGGTGGGTCAAGGACAACATAGCTGCATTTGGAGGAGACCCGAACGATGTAGCTATTGCTGGAGAATCAGCAGGTGGCGCCGCCGTGTCGTTGCTGTCAGTTAGCCCGGCAGCCAAAGGGCTGTTTACTAAGGCCTTCTCTACAAGCGGAAGTGCCACCTCGCTCTATGCTCAATATTCCAACGCTAAAAATGATGCGCTGGAATTAGCGAAGAAAATAAAATGCTGGGATGGGGAATTAGATGCTAAGATCAACCTGCAACAAAGTGAATACATTGTTGAATGTTTGAGAACACGACCAGCAGAGGAAATAATAAAAAATGTTGTCTATAAACTAGGGATGCCGCCTTTTGTTCCAGTAGCCGACGGCGAATTTCTACCACAATCTCCGTTAAAACTTGTCAAAGATGATTCTTACATGGAATCTTTGGGTTTTTACGAGAGGTCGTATTTGGTCTCTTTTAACAACTATGAGAAATCGTCGATGGAACTTTTAATTCAAATGCACGAGGCAGACATCGACGCGAGGAACATCACAGGAGACGAGAAAGCCAGACAAAAGCAAGAATTGTACCAGGATGCTGCACATCTTGCCATCCGCAAACGTCTTGAGGTGGAAGACGTCTCTCAAGAATTGTTAGATCGTATTTACGGATGGTATACACGTCGATACACTGGAATGAACTCCGTGGCTGCATTGTATACTGACTTGTTTTTTGAAATGCCTTCTTTCGAAATTCTCAACGTGATGTCCCGGAAGAACACCACCAACGTGAGGCTGTTGTATTTTAACCACTTCCCTCAATTTGTGTCGGGTTCTATAAGAGGGATGCCCCATGGGCTTGATCTCGCCTACTGGTTTGATATCCCGTTGGAGGTGATCCACAGTTTCGTGGGTGTTGAGTCTCAAGGAAACTTCGACGCTGAAGATCACGAACTTAAAAGAGTGTATTCTTCAATCATTGCTGACTTCGTTAAAACAGGGTAATTAACTGTTCAATTTTTGCTTATCTTCAACTGTATACACCTCTTTACCTTTTTGCTCTCGTTTTCTGGTACCTATATTTTGTTTAATTAGTGCTGACTTATCAAAACAGGATATAGCAATACATTCACTTAATCTTTTACAATATAGACCTACTATTGTTTATTTATTTTTGTCCAGTACTAGTCAGGTGTCGTTTTGGAGACTCACAGTCCATTTGACTTTGACCTGTTTACTTGCTCTACTTACTCTCAGTTCATTCTTTGAGAGTTTCCTGTTCTTCGCTTTTTTTTACGGGTTACTGTAAAAAATAAATATCTGCTTACCTGATGACCTTTTAGCATTAACATATTTTACATTAACGTATCTTCAGAGGCGTAGCGATGGGGGGGGGGAGGGCAGGGGGGACATATGTCCCCGGGCGCCGACCTTAGGAGGCGCCAAAATGGGTTGGAAAAAGTAATCGAAAGTTTGAGGGGGGGGGGGGGTGCAAATCGAAAGTTTGAGAGGGGTGCAAATCGAAAGTTTGTTCCAGGGCGTCGGGAAGGGTCGCTACGCCTCTGCGTATCTTGCTTATTTTAAAATCTATATATATAAAGCAAAGTGGTCGGGTGCCCGATAGGGCACTTCCCGGCGCCGCAGGCGCGTCAAATTTGGCACGATGGTGCCTTGGGGCGATAGAACACGAGGGCCGGTGACGGTTGGCCGAAAAGTCTACGGGGAGGGGGTCAAAACTGACCTCGACTGACCGGCGCCTTATATGGGGTATATTACGAAAAAAAAATTCCTCCGACGACCCCCCTTGATATTTTGTGAGGTGGTAGAAGAACACCTAGGGGTGTCACAAAAAACTCGGCATATCTGGGAAAACTTCGTAGAGCGGTCAAAACTGACCAGTTGTATTTCCCTATATATTCTTTGTATTTTATGGCAAAAACAGAGGGTCATTTCAACGCAGACTTTAGGGTACTTAAGATCAGTATATCTGGCTAATTTTTTGCATGTTCCTAGGTCAATGGCTTGACCTTTAGGGAAAACTGTCGGTTACACTCAAAGCCCTCGACGAGGGCTAAAAAGTGACCGCGAGTGAAATTCTCTTTATATGAGCTCTATTACGAAAAAAAAAAATCCTCCGACGACCCCCCTTGAAATTTTGTGAGGTGGTAGGAGAACACCTTGGGGTGTCACAAAAAACTCGGCATATCTGGAAAAACTTCGTAAAGGGGTCAAAACTGACCAGTTGTATTTCCCTATATAATCTTTGTATTTTATGGGAAAAACAGAGGGTCATTTCAACGCAGACTTTAGGATACTTAAGCTCAGTATATCTGGCTAATTTTTTGCATGCTCCTAGGTCAATGGCTTGACCTTTAGGGAAAACTGTCGGTTACACTCAAAGCCCTCGACGAGGGCTAAAAAGTGACCGCGAGTGAAATTCTCATTATATGAGCTCTATTACGAAAAAAAAATTCCTCCGACGACCCCCCTTGAAATTTTGTGAGGTGGTAGGAGAACACCTTGGGGTGTCACAAAAAACTCGGCATATCTGGGAAAACTTCGTAAAGGGGTCAAAACTGACCAGTTGTATTTCCCTATATAATCTTTGTATTTTATGGGAAAAACAGTTGGTCATTTCAACGCAGACTTTAGGATACTTATGCTCAGTATATCTGGCTAATTTTTTGCATGCTCCTAGGTCAATGGCTTGACCTTTAGGGAAAACTGTCGGTTACACTCAAAGCCCTCGACGAGGGCTAAAAAGTGACCGCGAGTGAAATTCTCATTATATGAGCTCTATTACGAAAAAAAAATTCCTCCGACGACCCCCCTTGATATTTTGTGAGGTGGTAGAAGAACACCTTGGGGTGTCACAAAAAACTCGCCATGTCCGGGAAAAATCGGGAAATGGGTCAAAACTGACCAGTCGTATTTCCCTATATAATCTTTGTATTTTATGGGGAAAACAGAGGGTCATTTCAAAACGGATTTTATGGCACTTACGCTCTTTACATCTGGCTCAGTTTTGGCATGCTTATAGGTAAATGGCTTGACCTTTAGGGAAATCTGTCGGTTACACTCAAAGCCCTCGACGAGGGCTAAAAAGTGACCGCGAGTGAAATTCTCTTTATATGAGCTCTATTACGAAAAAAAAATTCCTCCGACGACCCCCCTTGATATTTTGTGAGGTGGTAGGAGAACGCCTTGGGGTGTCACAAAAAACTCGCCATGTCCGGGAAAAATCGGGAAATGGGTCAAAACTGACCAGTCGTATTTCCCTATATAATCTTTGTATTTTATGGGGAAAACAGAGGGTCATTTCAAAACGGATTTTATGGCACTTACGCTCTTTACATCTGGCTCAGTTTTGGCATGCTTATAGGTAAATGGCTTGACCTTTAGGGAAATCTGTCGGTTACACTCAAAGCCCTCGACGAGGGCTAAAAAGTGACCGCGAGTGAAATTCTCTTTATATGAGCTCTATTACGAAAAAAAAATTCCTCCGACGACCCCCCTTGATATTTTGTGAGGTGGTAGGAGAACGCCTTGGGGTGTCACAAAAAACTCGCCATGTCCGGGAAAAATCGGGAAATGGGTCAAAACTGACCAGTCGTATTTCCCTATATAATCTTTGTATTTTATGGGGAAAACAGAGGGTCATTTCAAAACGGATTTTATGGCACTTACCCTCTTTACATCTGGCTCAGTTTTGGCATGCTTATAGGTAAATGGCTTGACCTTTAGGGAAAACTGTCGGTTACACTCAAAGCACTCGACGAGGGCTAAAAAGTGACCGCGAGTGAAATTCTCATTATATGAGCTCTATTACGAAAAAAAAATTCCCCCGACGACCCCCCTTGAAATTTTGTGAGGTGGTAGGAGAACACCTTGGGGTGTCACAAAAAACTCGGCATATCTGGGAAAACTTCGTAAAGGGGTCAAAACTGACCAGTTGTATTTCCCTATATAATCTTTGTATTTTATGGGGAAAACAGAGGGTCTTTTCAACGCAGACTTTAGGGTACTTAAGCTCAGTATATCTGACTAATTTTTTTGCATGCTCCTAGGTCAATGGATTGACCTTTAGGGAAAACTGTCGGTTACACTCAAAGCCCTCGACGAGGGCTAAAAAGTGACCGCGAGTGAAATTCTCTTTATATGAGCTCTATTACGAAAAAAAATTTCCTCCGACGACCCCCCTTTATATTTTGTGAGGTGGTAGAAGAACACCTAGGGGTGTCACAAAAAACTCGGCATATCTGGGAAAACTTCGTAAAGCGGTCAAAACTGACCAGTTGTATTTCCCTATATAATCTTTGTATTTTATGGGAAAAACAGAGGGTCATTTCAACGCAGACTTTAGGGTACTTAAACTCAGTATATCTGGCTAATTTTTTGCATGCTCCTAGGTCAATGGCTTGACCTTTAGGGAAAACTGTCGGTTACACTCAAAGCCCTCGACGAGGGCTAAAAAGAGACCGCGAGTGAAATTCTCTTTATATGAGCTCTATTACGAAAAAAAATTTACTCCGACGAACCCCCTTGATATTTTGTGAGGTGGTAGAAGAACACCTTGGGGTGTAACAAAAAACTCGGCATATCTGGGAAAACTTTGTAAAGCGGTCAAAACTGACCAGTTGTATTTCCCTATATAATCTTTGTATTTTATGGGAAAAATAGAGTGTCATTTCAACGCAGACTTTAGGGTACTTAAGCTCAGTATATCTGGCTAATTTTTTGCATACACTAATATAGATGACTAGGCCGTATGGAAAAACTGTTGGTCAGACTCAAAGCCCTCGACGAGGGCTAAAAGATGATCTTGAGTGAAATCTCCTTATATGAGATATATATATATAAATAAATTGACGAACGATTCCCTTAATATTATGTGACGTCGTAGACCGACCCTGGAGGCTAACAAAAAAACTTTAATCCCGTCGGAAACAGCCATTATAGTTGTTAAATATGTTCATATACCATAATCTCTTATATAAGCATAGCAACTGTTTGTAAAAAAAAAACAAAGACATACGTCATACGTTCAGTTTTCAAGGGAGGTAACGTTTTTTAAATTATTATTTTTCAAATAATTGTATACTATTTTAAACAGAAACAGAAAATGACGAAGTATAGCATTTGTTTAGTACAAAATTAAGTTGTTAATTTAGTTACGTATCCCAATTAAATAAATAAATAAATTTCAAAAGGCAATGTAATAAAAACTATGAGATGTACTGTTCATGGAAGCTGTTTAGTTCTAATTCCATTTTACTTATACATTGCGTACTTTCCGATATTTCTCTGAGAACGGTATTTAAATGACAAACTAAAACATTTTTTTCTAAAGTTAGCATTACTGTTTAAATTAAAGCACTCAACACCAAATCCATCGCTAAATAATTAAGTATTCAAATTCTCAAATGTTATTTAAAAACCTAAGCGAAGCTAGGCAGTATGCCTAGTGTTTAATATTTTGAAAAACAATTTTATTTTCATCAGAAATGCCGAGAACGCCATTCTACAAAGCCTCCCTGACGGTTGGCCGACCTACGACCCCGTTGAATCGCATTACCTTGACCTCAATGCTCATCTCAGCATCCAACGTAACATAGGACGAGAAAAACGGTTGTTATGGGAGACGTTGGTTCCACATTGGATTACAGCTGACAGAAGTATAGAGCACGTAGAACTGTGATGATTTGAAATTGTAGAACTGTGATGATTTAAAAATGGGGAACTGTGATGATTTACAATGAAACAGGTTATATTATATTGTATAGTAATAGCTGTTAAATAAAAACGGCAGGCCTCACTTGTCAAACTTTGGTATTGATATAGGCCTAAATAATTTACGGCTGCGAGTAGTATGTTGACTTTGATATATTAAATTATGCATTGAAGACGACGTTGATTTAAAAAAAAACAACACATAAACGATTATGCAATAGTCATTCAAAGCTTTTACAAAAATGCTTAACCTGGCAAAAATTCGGGGAGAGGGGTGGGGGCACTGCAACAGAATAACATGAGCAAATCAGCTAACAAATAAAGCTTAATCATGTGTTTTAATAGTAAGTTGTTCTTAGAATAACAATCTAGTAATATCATGTTTCATTTTAAATAGTTACCAATGCATTACCTGTTGTATACATAATTTCTGCTTACATAGAAAAATATTTCTAACCAACGTTGTTTTTTTTATCATTCGACAAATGTCTCTGCCATACACAACAAGATGTCTTTTATCGTTTTTAGTAACATGAACCGTACAGTGCGCTTTTTCTCCCCTCTTTTTCACGTTATTACATTTCAATTCCGGGAGCCAGTTGTATACAAGATTGAAACTTTCCACAAACAACTATTTTATCATCCACATTTTTTATATTTGCACATTTAGCTTACGAAATACATAAGGAAATATTAATGTTAATGTAGCACCAACCCCTTATTCGTGTTGATAGTTTTACGTACACATTTGTATTACAAAAGGAATCTAAATCTATAGCTAGATTTATCGTTTTGTTGAACAAAATTATGAAGGATAGAAAGGGTGTTTTTTATTAAAATCGTTTCGTGGTTCCCACGGAAGTCTAAACAGCTAGCGGCGATTTTTAACTATTAATGTTTATTGTTTAAAAAGTATTAACATATGGAGTTATTAAACGCTTTGAAACATGCACGGTATGTTGTTTTTCTTACAGACGTTGTCTACCCTTAACAGACACAAATCGTAGGCCTGGTGGAGTCGGTGAATCTCATGGTTGCTAAACCGAAAAGTCTCGAGTTCGAACCCTCGGGCAGATGAGGCTCGTTAGCTGGAGACAGCCGCTCTTCAAACAAATGCTTCCTTGTAGTTTGTTCTTGGTAGGACAAAGGCTATGGAAGCAAATTTTTAAAAAAGCAGGCTGAAATCGGAGACAATGGCCTCAATGGCGCATAACCAGTTGACACGTATCCTTAATTGTGGAGGCGTGGTCGAGTCGGCAAAATGCTCATGGTTGGTAAATTCGAAAAAGTCTCGAGTTCAAACCCGTTACCAGATAAGGCTCGATCCCTTCCAACACTAAAAATTAAGAACGTAGAAGAAGAAGAAGTAAGCCTTTTCCTTAAAAACCTGTGCCACAGTCGAAGGCATTAAAAGTGCGCAAACTTTGATACTTTCTAAACCAATGAAATATCTGATGAAATGTTACTATTTAATGCGCATTGCATTGTCAATGGGTTTGACAACCAAGTTTAGTTTGAAATGAAAACGTTTCAATGGAAGCTGATGAATCTGTGCTTGCAATATTTTAACTTACGATGGACAGAGCGAGCACTTGCTAGGACGTAATCTTTGTTATTTCCCCTGCTTTTATTCATAACAACTTTTTAATTTAATTTAAATGATGAACATTTTGTGTCATTAAATTAAAATGTAAATATTCTTGCATTTTCACCGGAGACGAATGTAAGCGGAAACTTGAGGTGTGCAATGAATTTGTGGTGTCTGCTGTGTATATTAAGAGCCTATTTAATTTACTTGTTTGAAGGTGATTAATTTGACGATATCTGATAAGGATGATAGGTATTGTGTGTATGAGGGAATTCACGATGGAGAGAGAGAGCCACCAGTTGATAAGTAGAATGGCGTGTTTTTAGTAAACATCCTTTTTGTTTCTGATCCTGCATTTTAACGTTGTTTATGAGCTGTAAGTTAGTGTAAGTATAATGTTGGTGTCATATAAGATTAATCTGGATAAAGACTTCTCCGTGTAAACCCAGTCCTTTTAGAAAGATACGGCATGAACGGGTAACAACATCTTTTACAGTGTAAGCAAAACAACGGCAAGTCTAATGGGTTAGTATGTTTTATTACTGTCGTATTAATACACAAGGATAATTAATTACAAAACGGTATAAAAATATTTAAAACATTGTATTAGGCTATATATTGAAACACGTTATAATAGGCCAATATTATGTGTTTCAAAATGTTACTCTCATGGTCTATATTTTAAAATGGTTATAGTACTATATATTTTAACATTATTATTACTGTCAATATATAGGCCTACGCCATAAAATTTTGCGGATTAGAAATAATCCATAATGAACGCACAATCTGTGGGTGTGTGGATATCGAACTTAGATGACGCTGTTTGATGACTTTAGAATTTTATACGCCAACTTATAAAATCAAATTTAAGCTGTTTGTATTAGTATTTCTTTTAAAAACTTTTATACTTATAATTAATTTTGATCCGAGTTTGCTAAAATTAAATTGTAGATAACGATGTTTTCCAACAAAATCAAAGTAATTACTGATTATATCCCTTACTAAAAAAAAGCTCGTTAATTATTTTACTATTTTTAGCGAATTAGGGAAGAGACTGCAAGGTATTATTTGAGGGATTTTAATTTTTGTGAGTGAGATGGGCCATGGGTGAGATTCTAAACACCATCTAAAAAATGTGCGCCTCCATGTATGGACAAAACAAACAAAACTCCTTCATAGTTCCAAGTGCTCGATATTCCTGTCACCTGTCGCCCACTGCGGAACTAGCGTCTCCCATAGCAACCGTTTTTCTCGCGCTAGGTTACGTTGAATGCTGAAATGAGGATTGAAGTCAAGGTAAGGCGATTCAACTGGGTCATAGGTCGGCCATCCACCGGGCAGACTTGGTAGAATGGATCTCTCGGCATTTCTGAGAAAAAAAAAGTATTCGATTTTTAGTAAACAAAATAAATTCAGTGAGTTAAATTAATGTCATATTTTTCATATGAAAAATGTAGCACTTAGTTACCCTGTTTTAACGAAGTCAGCAATGATTGAAGAATACACTCTTTTAAGTTCGTGATCTTCAGCGGTGAAGTTTCCTTGAGACTCGATACCCACAAAACTGCGAATCACCTCCAACGGGATATCAAACCAGTAGACGAGGTCAAGAACATGGGGCATCCCTCTTATAGAACCCGACACAAATTGAGGGAAGTGGTTAAAATATAATAGTCTAGCATTGGTGGAGTTCTTCCGCGACATGACGTTGAGCATTTCGAAAGTAGGAATTTCAAAAAACAAATCAGTAAACAGAGCAGCCAAGGATTTGACCCCGATGTATCGACGTGTATACCACCCGTAAATACGATCTATTAAGTTCTGAGGTACGTCTTCCACCTCCAAACGATCACGAACGGCCAAACCTGGAAGGGTTTGATACAACTCTTGCTTTTGTCTGGCTTTCTCGTCTATTGAGACGTTTCTCGCATTGATGGTTTGATCATGGAAATACAAGATGAGTTCTATTACCGATTGCTCATAGTTGTTAAACGAAACCAAATACGACCTCTCGTAAAAACCTAACGATTCAAGATAACGATTATCTCTGACAAGTTTTAACGGAGATTGTGGTAGAAATTCGCCGTCGACTCGTGGAACAAATGGCATCCTGTCTAGCTTATAGACAACACCTTTCGTCAGTTCCTCTGCTGGTCGTGTTCTCAAACATTCAACAATGATTTCACTCTGTCGCAGGCTGATCTTAGCATCTAATTCCCCATCCCAGCAATTGACTTGTTTCGCTATTTTCAGCGCTTCAGTCTGAGCGTTGAAATATTGAGTAAACAGTGAGGTGGCGCTTCCGCTTGTAGAGAAGGCCTTAGTAAACAACCCTGTGGCTGCTGGGCTAACTGACAGCAACGACACGGAGGCGCCACCTGCTGATTCTCCAGCAATGGCTACATCGTTCGGGTCTCCTCCAAAGGCAGCTATGTTGTCCTTGACCCACCTCAATGCCAAAACCTGATCCCACATGCCGTAATTTCCCTTGCTAGCCTCGTTTTCAGTGCTCAGAAACCCCAATGCTCCTAACCTGTAACTAATCGTCACCACGATGACGTCATGATTGGTTACAAAGCTCTCGCAGTTGTACATGAAGTAGGAACCTAATAAAAATCCACCGCCATGAATCCACACTAAAACTTTTGAAGGTTGCCGCGCTGGTCTGATCTCTTTAGCGTAAATATTTAAGTAAAGACAATCTTCAGATATTTCTTCGCCGGGTAGCAGAGCATAGGTTTCCTGAACGCACGAAGGCTTCATTGCTAAGGCCTCCAGCGTGCCTGCTGCAAAGAAATATTTTTAAAAATAATTCAAAATAGCAGATTGTGTCCACGGATTAAGAACAATATTTGTTAACACTAAAAACTATTTCCAGTGTTTTTTTTTAAACCTGGGGGGGGGGTGCACTTGCAATTAACGTATACATGTACTTTAAATAAGTTTTATATTTTTAATTTTTATATTTCTTCCGGTAGTGGGGGGGGGGGATAAGTGGCGTAGGCAGGGGGGTTAGGGGGGGGGGGTCATAACCCCCCATAGACCCCTCGGTATATAGAAAAAGTATGAGGGGGGTGCAAATCGAAAGTTTGAGGGGGGGGGTGTGCAAATCGAAAGTTTGAGGGGGGTGCAAATCGAAAGTTTGAGGGGAGGGGTGCAAATCGAAAGTTTGTCCCCGGGTAAAAATTGGACCCCCCCCCACCTTAAGACGATCCTGGCTACGCCACTGGGGAGGATAAACAAGCTGTGTGCTGTCGATCTCCAGGGGGAAAAAAACATTGCACATTGACAAGGAAAATTCACAGTATTCCATTGTAGATAAACTGATAATGATTGAAGGGTTTCCGGCATCACAATTATGCCAAATAAAAATCATTAATTATTACAGAGAAAACTTGAATGCAAATGATCAGTTTATGAATAGATGAGATCTTACCTATCTTAGGGTGTGCTACAGGTTTAGCAAATCTTAGCTCCCCGACTGGTGGTTTAGCAAAGGGTATGCCTTGAAAAGAATAAAAACTCTTCCCATTCTTGGCTGTTATCTCCTGACCTTTGACCCGACCAAACGGTGAGTCCACCACAACAGCTGTGACGCAGCTGACCGTTAGGATGAACACTGCTAAACCAGTGATCAACATCTGGAGAGGATGAATAAACAATTGCTTGTACGTGATTGAATTGTAATCCACCACACACATACACAGCTGGTTATAAAAATTAATCTTAAGGAATATACAGAGATTATAACTCAAATGAATGTCTTTACCTACCCTACTAACCACATAACATAGCAAAACATAATATATGATTTAACATTTTATATATATATATATATATATATATATATATATATATATATATATATATATATATATATATATATATATATATATATATATATATATATATATATATATATATATATATATATATATATATATATATATATATATATATATATATGTAAACAAAATATATATGTATATATATATATATATATATATATATATATATATATATATATATATATATATATATATATATATAATAGCAAATGATAAACAACACTTTAATCCTTTCGAATGCGTGGCGTATCAAGGTGGATGTTTAGAGGGTCAAAACTCCCCTCCATCCAATTTAAGTTGTAAAAGAACCACCGTAGCCGTCCGTGCTCTGAGGTTACCTAGATCTGCAAGTGTGCCAGGCTTTTAAACGCGAGTTGAGTAAACACTCGATGAATAGACCTGGGGTGTTTAGAAACTGGCGATCAGCAGAACGATAAGCTAAGCTTTGTGTGTCACACTCCAGCGGCTGTCAGCATGACGGGATTGCATTGGGGGACGGACACACAACAGGGCCTGCCTCGAATTAAAGCTGTACTTGTGCGGATATCAGTACAATGTAGCCCCATACAGTGATGGTAAATAAGTACAAAGGTCAATTATACATTGGCTAAATATCTTTTGAGTCGGATTTGAATTCCTTTATTTGTACGGTTCTAACAGCTGAACAATCACAACCACACTCACACACACACACACAAACACACGCATATGGGCCCGTAAATATATATATATATATATATATATATATATATATATATATATATATATATATATATATATATATATAATGATTATGTATGTGTGTGTGTGCATTGAGATGGAATACCATTTTAGGGGGCGGGGCGGTTAATAAGTATACCTAATGTTATACATTATGTCTTTGTTTTATCAAATTAGAGTAATTTCTTCATCATTATCCAATGACAAGTACACGCAGCTTGACCTCTCTGTTATCGACTAGCTGCTGTAGATGTTCTGTGTTTAAAGCAAGCCTCTAAAAGGATACTTCTGTACACGAGAACATATCTTAAAAATGACCTATCATTTAATTAAGCACTATTGCATTATTTTAATGTACTGAAAGATCTTCGTAAGAAAATGCTGGTAGAAATAAATATATAAAATTCATCCAACTTACCCTCAGAGATTTTGATTTTGGTTCTGCCAGCAGACCTGGAAACAGGATAATGCAGCCACCAGACGATCACTTACCGCCGTCTGCTTCGTCTGCATGACAGGCGCAGGTCGTCTGCTGAAACTTTAGATCCCATTATGTTATGGCGCATGTCTGATAACGTTACATGACCAGAACAAACCATCCAGAACGATAACCTTGTGACTTTATTTTTAGATTTTGGGTCACGCAAATATTTGTGCAGAAAGAAGAGGGTAGGGGGTAGATTGTCATTATTACAGGCTATTGTGTTAACCTTCCCCCCCCCCCCCAAGCTCTACCCCACCCCATATATGAATATATATATATATATATATATATATATATATATATATATATATATATATATATATATATATATATATATATATAGGAATAGGCCTACTGCCTAGCTTCGCTTACGTTTTCAAAAAACTTTTGAGAAATTGAATGATAAATTGGTGAATGGCTGTTATGTGGAGTACTTAGGGCCTAAGCTTAAGGGGGGAGGCTCCGGTAAAAAAAATAATTTTAATACTCGTTAGAAAACAGTTATTTCTTTACAGCTTTATTAAGATACATCCGCATATGCAGTTCCACTAAAAAAAATTCGTGGAAAAATCTTGGTAACTATGACAACGGCGGCCATCTTGAAAAATTAACCCCCTAGTAGGTTTTCCACCATCCATAAAATATTATATTTTATGCCCAATAAACAATGAATTCATAATATTCTTCCATATTTTGGGGGCACTCAGCTAAAAATTCTAAGCGCATATCTTCAAAATAATTTATTATGAATTTTTATGAATTTTCAAAATTCGGGTCCGTTCAAAACACTTAATTTTGGGGAATTTTGGGGCATTAAAACTAGTGTTTTTAATGGCCCCACAATTTGAAAATTCATATGCGGAAGTATCTTAATAAAGCTGTAAAAAAATAACTGTTTTCTAACGAGTATTAAAAAAGTTTTTTTTTTTTTTTACCGGAGCCTTCCCCCTTAAACACCCTGTGTAATTTTAAGTCATGCAACCATTGATGGGGTATTCGCAAACTTATCACTCGCTAGGTTATTAGAACTGCAAAAGCTTCCTTAAAAGTACAAATCAAATATTATATTGAATTCACTTTGGGAATGAACTTTTACAATGTCAGTACAATCAATTATTTAATTTATAACGAAATATTTATTTAAACGAATGCTTTACTTTATGATGTTTGTTAATTCTTTTAAAAAAGTATACACATTTAAAAAAAATTAATACTTTAATAGTTATCTCTCCTGTACACATACCAAATGACGTAGTCTTTGTTTACTTTTTCATAAACAATTGTTTATATAAGAAAATACGGTATCTAGACAAATCTAACGACCCTAAGGGGTTTATCCGACGGGAATATTGTTTTTTTTTTGTTACTCTCCATGGTAGGTCTACGATCTCACAAAATATCAAGAGGGTCGTTCGACAAAAGTTTTTTTCCCGTAATATAGCTCATATAAGGCAACCGGCACCGACCCCCGTGTTCTATTGCCTGCCAAATTTGAATTTATTTAAGTATGTATAAACGCATGTGTATGTATTAACATTTATTTTTATGTATTTAATTTTTTAACCTCCCCTCTTAGTCTTCCCTATTCATGGATTAACTTATAAGTTATTACGACACTCAACCAAACCGTTTACCTCAGGCATATTATGCAACCTTGAGTTAATGTAACTTCCCCCCACTCACCCCTCCCCCGCGGCGATTGCTTTAAACTGTGCTCAGATATAATAATAACGATTTTTATCTATAGTCGGTTATAAATACAACACAGCTTGATGTTGCATGTTTTCTTTATCATTAGCAGGTTTACGTCATGGTGTCACCCCCCCCCCCCCCCACCCCCTTGTCGGGATTTGTCAAATTCGCTCTTAAAAGACTATTTAACACTCTAATTAAGCACTTATTTAAGTGGAATTATTATTTGTCTGTATATATTTTGCTATTTTTTGCCTTGGTGTCACCCCCATAGATGGTGTCACCCGGTGCGGTCCGCACTCCCGCCCCCCCCCCCCACGCTACGCCCCTGCTAGGTGCTGTCCTGACCACACTCAAAGAAACCTAGGTAAACTCTAATTCACGCGCCCTTAGACCGACATGTTCGAAAGGTAACTTTATAACTGGCATACCATTTTAAAAGCTTTTTAGCCACTAGATTTGACTAGATATATATCACTGTAGTATTCTAATTCAGTGTTAATTCATATTTTTTTCGCCGGGGGGGGGGGGGGGGGGGGGGGGGGGGGCTAAATTTTCATGGCGGGGGTTTGGGCGGACACAGATAAAAGTTTATATTTTCTATATAAATTCCATTTCGTAGACTTTCTCCGCCTCCCCCCCCCCCCCTCCTCCCAAGATGCCTGAAAGAAACTCTGTCCTAATTATTAATTCTTATGAAAATATCCTAATTTTTGTGATTCTAATAATTTAAAATATCCAACTAGATCTAGTAGCAATTGCTCAGTGTTTCCCGATGGGGTATGGGAATGTTGGCGCTCATGTTCTAAGCAATGTTAATGAGGTAGATATAACGCCAGGGTAACATGAGTAAGGTACAACTAGTGCGTAGTTAGGCCTATGAATGATTGCCATTTCCAATAATTAATGCGATTTGTTTTATTTCAGAATAAGAGCTCTTCATGAATAGGCCTAGGCATAGCAAAATTTATTGGGCGCATGCGCGACCGCTGACAATGAACAAAATCTGCCTGTTGGAATTTGTTACAAAGTTTTTGTATTTTCATAACTTGTATATAAAACCTAACTTTAAAATTGGGTTTTTACTTTTCTATAACATGTGCGAATGATTAAATATTAAAATTTATATTCAGGTTAAAATATAACAAACATTAAAATTTAATGACACATTTAGGCATCAAAACATCGGTAAATCTGGCTTAAACAAGGGTAATAATACTTTCTAGAACTCGTGTATTGCCAGAAAATTCTTTACCATGGCTGATACTAAAAGCAAGGTCTGTAATTCTCATTTCAACTATAATTTATTGATATAATTTAACATATCAATTGAGTTTTTAAATTAATGAAAATGTAATACACATCTAGTGAACTATAGCAATTATTCGTTTTGTTCGTTTATACTAAATATTTCGTTGGTGTAGCAATCTTCCATCTACTCACTGTTACTCTGATTAACTCTTTTGAGACTCTGTTACCGACTCTCTTTTGTCTTTAGTAAAGTACTCTACTCTCTCTAGTCTTAGAAGTAACAGTAACCGACTGTACTGTAGCAACCATTACTTTGATTTTTCTAGTATATTGACTAGATTCCAGATCTTGTGTATAATCTAAAATAATCTAGAATCTAGATAAGGTAGATTATAATTTTAATAGGCTCTATTCTAGATTCTTCAGTAATCTACACTACAAAGTCTACTGAACTGTAGGCCTACTGATATTCTAAAAAAAATCGGATCTTAGATTCTAAGAATAGTGTACAGTGTAGACTGTAGAATTATAAGATCTAGTCTAGATCTAGTGCCCACTAGGATACTAGCTTATTCTAGTTGCTAGATCTGGATCTTCTCTAGATCTAGATTCTAGAATAATCTAGAATCTTTGATCTTCTAGAATAATCTAAAATTCTAAATTAGTGCTTTAATTATTTAGGCCTTAGCCTTACTATATTTTCTTTTTAAATCTAAAATTTACTCGATTTTCAATTTAAACATGACCGCTGAATAATAAACATTCATAGGCCTATTTATAATATTTAATTTTAATCCATTAGGCACTAAATTTGAGGTTTTTAGTTCGTACTTAAATTACTTGATTTAATATTTATTGTCACTCAGAACTATGGCACAACACTCCCTTCCGTAACCCATGTGATATCAATTGTTTGTGTAATTGGCCTAATTAATTTTACAATGTATCATCATTTGAGCTAATTTTTTTCTAGGCTCTTGAAGAGAAAGAAAAGGGGAATGCAGCTTATAAACAAAAGAATTTTGATGCGGCGTTGCAGCACTATGAAGCTGCTTTTCAACTTGATCCCACAAACATGACACTCCTAACTAATAAAGGGGGTAAGCTTGCTTTACGAACTGAACATATAGGTCTTACTTGACTGAAATTTAATATTAGTCTATGTATAGGCCTATCTATTTAAATTTAACTTATATTTATTTTCAGTAAGTTGTAGGGCCTATGTATATATATTTTACTAATTACGTTAAATTGAATTTAATGATTTTTCTTCACAGCTGTATATTTTGAACAAGGCAGATTAGATGAGTGTATTAAAACTTGTGAGCAGGCTGTTGATATAGGTCGGGAGAACAGGGCTGACTTTCAGTTAATTGCAAAGTAAATTCAGTTTACAAGTTTTTAATCTTAAACTTTATTGTTAAAATGAGCATTTGCTTATTGTTATAAATGTTTTATTACTATTTCCTGTTATTTGTTTAAACTTGTGGTTTTTTTTTTTTAGGGCTTTAGCAAGAATAGCAACTGCGTATTTAAAGAAAGATGAATTACAGCAGGCTCTTACTTATTTTAACAAAAGTTTATCAGAACATAGACAACCTGATATAGTTAAAAAAGTTCAAGAGGTTTGTATGTTTCAGTTTGACTTGTCCTTATAAATACTATTTTTGTTGTTTTAAGTTTTATAATATTGTAATTTGTTCATTGGATTTTTAATTTTTTAAATTTAATAATCTAAATAGACCTAATTTTGGAATGTGAAGATTATTTTGTTTTTTAAACTATAGTTAATTTTAAGTGTTCTGTTCTGGTTTACACTATTAATGGGTTTAGCTGTTATTTTATGACTGATATTGCTGCCATTAACTTACAGGTTCAGCAGAAAATAAAAGAAAAAGAGAGGTTAGCATACATAAATCCAGAACTATCTCTTGAGGAAAAAGAGAAGGGAAATGCTGCTTTTAAAGAAGGTAAAAGTTTGCTTACTGAAAAAATGTCCAATGTCCAGGTAGAGTGTGTGAATTATCATGAGATTTAATTTTCAGCCTGCTATACATATTTCAAATATAAATCAAGCTGAGCTGTATTTTTAATTATTACTGTTCTGAAAATTGATTTTAGTTGTCTTGAGACACAATTCTTTACCACTGATCTCTTGCATTTTTGGTAGGTAAATTTATCTACCAATATTTTTATTTTTGCTGCTAAAAGTAAATTTCCTTTTTCAAACTGACGGTCTAGGGCCAAGTGAAGTAGAGTTCACTTGTTTCTGTGACCTCAGCATATAAAGAGATAGTGTGGTCAGCACTATGCCTAGCCGCCTTTACTTTCCCTAACATGAGTTGGGTACCCATCAGAGTTAGGTTTTCGCTGCTACTCCCTCTTTAATTTTGGAATCACACATTTATTTTCAAACCATTGCAAGCCGTAACCTTTCTTAATCAGATCCATATCCAGAGGAAGTTTTTGATATTGTTCAGTTTGAAAAGCTTCTTTTTAATGATTGTTTTTGTTCCGTGCCATATGGCCAACTGAAATCAGACTTCACCTGCTTTTTTAGTGGATTTGCTTCCTTAGCTTTTGTCTACCCAAAAGCTGTCTACATGGTAGCAGTTGTTTGAGTTTGGAGTTTACTCTCATCTGGTTAAATCTCTGCCCATGAGAAGTACAATTCAAATCACAAACAGTGAATTTTTAAAACTTATATTATTATTATTACTTACCAATACAAATATTTGTTCTAATATCAAAATATTCATGCACCTCCTAGATGTCTTTTGAGACAAACAACACACTATAACAATAAATCAACCTTTTTTCTGTTTTAAATTTTTAGGCAACTTCCCGTTAGCTGTACAGCACTACACAGAAGCCATTAGACGCAACCCAGATGACGCTAAAATCTACAGTAACAGAGCCGCTTGTTATACCAAGCTGATGGAGTTTGCTATGGCTCTTAAAGATAGTGAAGAGTGTATAAAATTAGACCCTAAATTTAGTAAGTTATTTTGATAAGTTTTTAGTTTGGGTTTTAACTGAAATCTATGTTATATCTAAAGGATTGAGTTTTAAGTTCTTTTTAATCTACAAATTCTAGATAGATGATTGTTGCACTGTGGCAGCTTATTAAAAGAAGATATAAAGACTGCAAACAGAATATTGTTTATCTGAGCTTACTCTACATTATTTATAATTCAGTCATTTTATTCTTTCATATATTATCTTCTTTCATACCTGTTATGGGCTATTGCTTAAATTTTTTGTTTGTTAATTATTAATTTTCTAAGACCGCCATTAAATTTCCTGCACGCTGCAGCATTGTACTCTATAGTTGGTGGGTTATTTATAAAGTAGTTCTCAGTAGAGTAAAACGGCTTGCCACTATCAAAATTTTAAAAAGGCATTTCGGGGCTGACATGCTGCGCTTGTGTTATGTAATTGTGACAGATCATTCGTTTCTCACCCTGTATCGTCAAGGTTTCTTGTATTTGTATTATTATTGCTGGGTGAGCTTGATTTGCCATATGAATATTATGTTGTAAAATGTAGATGCAATTGTTTGGGAAACGCTCTCTTTAATCACTAAACTTTAAAAAAAATTCTATTGCCATCAAATGGGTTTAAGTGTTATTTTTCAATATCTTCTGCTTGCTTGCATATTAAGTAAAAATATTTCCGACAGTACTTTTTTTTTGCTTAGGTGTTCTAACATCCTGCTTGTTTTTCTCTAGTTAAAGGCTTTTTGCGAAAAGGTGCTGTTTTGTTAGCTATGAAGGAACCAACTAAAGCAACTTTAGCATATCAAAAGGCATTAGACTTAGATCCTAGTAACTCAGTAAGTATCAAGTTAGAAAGATTTAACTTACTTCTAATTTCCCGTTTTAATTTGCCTGTAGGTAGTTAAAACTCTTGTCCAGTTATATAATTTTAGGCATGTAGCATCTTGCTGTACTCTTATGTGAGGATTTTGTACCTGAGATCAGTTATGATTATTTTATAAAATAATTTTTTTTTTTTACATTGCAGTTATCTAAAATTTAGCTGTTTCTGGTTTAGATAATTAAAAATACTGTCTCTAACTTTACTGCCAAGAGTTTTTGTGTGAAATCCTTAAATAGCTCATCCTTATGTTTGTAGGAAGCCCTTGATGGTTACAGAAAAGCCCTGATGGCAGAAAGTGAAGACCCTGAAGCTGTGAAACAAAAAGCAATGAACAACCCAGAGGTCCAGCAGATTCTCAGTGACCCTGCCATGCAGATGATTCTTGCCCAGATGTCCAAGGATCCCAAGGCTGCTAGGGAGTGAGTAATTAATTACATTGTGCTAGCTTATCTCTCGGCTTGTGAGTTGTTTTTTTTTTTTTACAAATCTGTTCACTAGTGTATTGTAAGCCTTTGTTAGTTGTACCTCATTTTGTATTCCTGTATACTTGCTATATTAGGTTTTGGGTTGAAGTAGAGCTACTATGTGATTGTTTTATGTGGAACCTTTAAGTTAAGATGCATTATTATTGATTTTGCAGACATCTAAAAAACCCTGATGTGGCTGCCAAGATTGAAAAGCTGATGGAATGTGGCATTGTATCTCTGCGCTGATCTATGTGGACCTAACATTTCGACTTCACCACACTCATGTAAGCCGCCTAAACACCAACTGAAGCACGGGTAGCTGCTAATTTCAAACTTTTAACAAGTGATAGTTGACATTCAAGGTTTAGATATATAGACCATATTGTTTTAGTTTTTCAGCAAGGTAATCAATTTTTTTTTTCAATACATTTTCATGTTTATATTTTAACTTCAATTTTCAATACATTTTTACTTTTGTTGAGACAATGTATCAATATTTTGATAATTAAAGTATTTTTGTTGTTAACAAATTCCATCATTGGACCTTTCCATATTGCATCTCACCTGAAGACATTTGACTGTGGTCTATTATCTGTGTTGTCAGGTAGCCTTAATTTACTGCTTATTAAAAAAAAAAAGACATAAAATTTCATTGTGTGTAACTTAAGTGTTGCTTTAATTGAGTATTTAAATTGACCATCACAGAGCATAGCCACAAAGCAGGATGTTAAATTTTGCATTGCATATTTTGGCATGTATTACAAATATTTCTTGTGATTAATTTTTAATTTAAATTTTTTAGCATTATTGATCTATTGTAGTTGATGAGCTGATAAGAAAATTAATGAAATAAAAACATTTCTTAGTGATCAGCAAAAACTTGTAGCGATTTCATATTCTATTAACAAATGAAATACCTAATTATTCTAGGTCTTAATTACACTTGAACTCGTTTGTTACTGGATATCTCCTCAGCATTGGCCGCTTGTTCAATATTTCATAGCAAATAATTTAAATTTTTTTCACTGTGGTTTCTGTTGAATTTAAATAGGATATTTAACATCTTAACTATGTGCTGGTCTTTCATGCTAGTACCATTTTTGTGTTTTTTAGACTTCATATATTACCATAAAATTCTAGATTTCTAAACGATATCATAGGTCCCCATGATCATATTTATAAGCAGAGATAATTGTCTTAACTTGATGTGTATCGAACATTTGTATTAAAAATTTCATACTTATAATTGTAAAAATGCTCATTTTCAACTGATTCAAGTGCTTGTTTAAATAAATGCTACAAATTTAACTTTCATGATCCTTTGTGTTCTTTCTGAAATTTCATGTCCATATTTGTGATGCCTTACCTGTGCTAATCTGTATGCTAGTTGCTAGTAATTAGAATTATCTTAAAAATATTGTTTAAACCAAGTATTACTAGTTTCAAGTATCTGATAAAAATATTCAGGATATTATTCACACTACAGACCATCTAGGTCTGATACCATATTAACAGTCCTCATTGCTCATAATGCCTTCACCTATACTAAATTGTCAACATTCTTTATCTTAGCATAGTAGATGTAACCATTATATGCTTGTACCCATAGAACTAAAATCTTTTTTCAGATTTGCATACTATTTATTGACAAAGGTTTTTATGCTCTTGTTGATCCTAACTTTTGGAATTATGAATTGTAGAGGACATACATAAGTGGGCCAATTAAGCTAAAACCTGTAGTTGGTCAAGATACGTTTCAAATCTTGCAGATAGCTATTTACTTGTTAAGCGAACTCTAAATATTTTTTTTTATAGTTTAAAACTAGAGGAATTGATCTACATGTAAACTTTTGCCAGATGAAATGGTGCGCTAAATAAATCACTTTTTTCCCCAGTACTTCAGTGAACATAAATTCAAAATCAAATACTAATTATTTTCTTTGGATAATTTTAATAGAATACAATTCTTGAATTACATTGACTAGTTTAACCTAAGTTCTTGCATGAGTAAAGGTATTAATTAAACAGCTTACAAGTCTTATTTTAAATAGTTAAAATTGAAAATAGATGCAATACTGTATAATAATGCAAAGCAGGATTTCATATATAAATGATATTGTACTAATTATTTAAAGTACTTGTACTGAGATTGACAATCATTGACAAGTCTTTTCATTACTAATAATATTTATAAAATACCCTGTAGCTTTAAATGATACATGCTAAATTCTAAAATAATTTTCTAAACATGATATAAATTATCTATTGCAAAATAAATAATGTTTATATATTCTAGTTTTGTAAAACAACTCACTTGTTAATTTACTAATTAGTGTAAAAAAAATCATAGGAAAGTAAACTTAGTTACAACTGTGTGAATAAGTTAAATGGAATGTGGTCCACATTGTACTTGGTTTACTTCAGCTCTGCTGGTCGTGTTATTTATAATTGTCAGGAATGTAACAAAAAATACTGTTTATGATGAAATAGTGGTAATGACTGCAATGTAAATTGGCTTTCTCGACAGTTCTTCACATCTTCTGGGCAGTAATTTGAATGAGGCTACCAGTTATCAGGTTTCAGAACAAAAATCACATTTGTCTAATACAGTTAATTACATTTGGGTAATTGAATTTTAAAAAATGGGGGGGGGGGGGGGGGGGGATGATGAGGAAGGAGACAATAAACAGGGACTTGCAAATTTTCAAATTTCATGTAAACTAATTTGAGTGCATGCAGGATATCTTGTCATGTAACTTTAATGTAAAAGTAACTGAGGCAGCAATGCTTTCATTTAGATGCCCTTGTCAAGATTAATCTGATACATAATACGATATATCAAAAGCGACACATTATGGAATGTCATCTCAAATGTGAGTACCACACATTCAACAATGAAATTCTGCTCATGAAACAAAAAAAAAAGGTACAAATGATGTTCATGAACAAAGTAGCTCTTTGATGACTGAACAATTTGGGTAGATGAAGCTATTCTTCTGGGTGGCTGAACGATTTGGGTAGATGAAGCTATTCCTCTGGGTGGCTGAGACAGGGTAGAACAGGAAGGACATTGAGTCTCCAAAGTTTCCACAATCCCAGCAGGCCTTGAAACATCCAGGATACAAACAACAGCCAGCCACCTGCCTGCAACATTGGACAAATATTTTAGTACGGTTTACATTAGTGAAGTTATAAGTGAGGTGGGGGATTTAATTTTCTGTCTCACTTTACAATTTGTAAAATTTCACTAGAGTGTGTGTGGGGAGGTGTTGATGAATAATGAAAATATCTTAAGTAAGTGCTAGACATACATCACTAAAATATGTCACCATTTCATAAAACCACTCAACTTCTTGCTAGTTTATCATTTTTAAAATTTTTTAACAAAAATTCATAAATAATTAAATTGTATAGTAAACTAAGGTCTGTCTCCCCTTAAAATATAATATCTTTCTGTTTCTTGTCCTCAAAATCATATGTTATTAGCTGATGCTTGACATACTTTATTAGAGTTAAATAATATTGATTTGTTTTATAACTTTTTAATAAATAAATTTTAACGTCTTTTATATTTAACTCACTGTAGCAACAGCCAATGCCTCGTAGAAATTGCTGCCATCATATCCTCGCCAGTCCGAGAAGTTCTGGGCATCTATGCAGCTACAAAAATAATAATTGGAACACATGAATGATTTATTTTGTACGAGCCGACCCGCGGCGTATCATACGCAACTATTTAGTTGTATTATTTTCTACTTTTCAGTAATTCGAAAGCAGCCTCCTCTTAATTACCTCCCCTAAGTTTAAAATAGTTTCAAACTAAATTATCTGCCCCAAATAGCCGTCACTAAACCCGTCTCTACAATTGTAAACATTTAGCGTGAACCACAGCTCACCAGACCATGTTGGGGTGGGGTGGTTGCGATATGCCTAGAGAGGAAGAGAGGGGACTGCAAGGCGCGCTTACAGCTTGTTTTCTAACGTCTCCAAGAAGAGAATTGTATATAGAGAGAAGATTGAGTTTTTAATAAGAAGGGCAACTCATATTTACTCAGTGCTTTTATTTTAATGTTTATTTCCCTTGGGGAAACAAACCTCGCTACAGTTGAACATTTTTTCCCCCACGTTAACATGCCTATTTATGATGAGATAGATTACTTGTCTTACCTGCCTACCCCGACTGTTACCGATTGACAAAAATGCATGAAACCAGCAGATATCATACTGGCTGAGACCAACATTAAAATAACTACCGCAAACTCTACTGCGATGTGGATGAGAAAAAGGCAATGCGACAGATCCAATCTAAAGATGAAATGAAATACATAAAAAGTTAGATACCGATATGTATCCAGATACGTGGATTAGTAAATATTTAGCGTTTTTAAATAAACTTAAATAGACATGATAATTTTCGTTAGAATTATTGTGTAGGGGTGTGTTTATGTAACTTTGTCATCAGATTAGGTGGGTGTAGGTCAGTCTTTATGCGAGGTCGTTAACCTTGCTACTGTGCAACAATTTTCTATAAACAATTTGATAAACATTCTTCTAATTGTGTTTCATTCTGGAGAACTTAGCAACATTTTGACACGTTTTGATTATCCATCCAGTATAACATTGAACATAGACACAAAAATCGGAATCCCTTACATTCTCCATGTTGTGTCGGCGATGCAGGTTATAATGTTAGCGCAGGTGATGCTGCTGGTGTAGGTGGTGATGTTGGTGTGGGTGGTGCCGTCTATGCAGGTTTTGATGATGGTGCAGATATTGGTGTAGGTGGTACTTTCCAAGCAGATATGATGATATGCTGTTGATATGGGTTATGCTGTTGATATGGGTTATGATGTTGATATGGGTTATGATGTTGATATGGGTTATGATGTTGATATGGGCTATGATGTTGATATGGGTTATGATGTTGATATGGGTTATAATGTTGATATGGGTTATGATGTTGATATGGGTTATGATGTTGATGCAGGTCGCACTTCATGACCCCTTCACAGTAAACACTTGCGATTTATTACATTACAGCAGTGATGTGGGAGTAATTGTGTGTGTAACACGTGTGTGTGTGGGGGGGGGGGGGTGGTTCCACGTATTATATGTGAGAAGGTCCCCCACGTTTTTAAAAAAAAATATGTGAGGGTGTCTACGTCTATGCAAATTCAACACTGTTAATGGGTCATTAAATGTCCAGTCTATATTTTGTGATCGTTCTTCGTGTCATGCAAATACTTCAAGTTGAGCCTGATGTTCAATAACAATAAATCTACCCTTAGTAGAAGTTTTAATAACAGGTTAGGTAACTCTCACTTACTTGTTTTCATCCCTCTCGGCGTTGTCCCTCCTGTACAGATAAAAATAGATCAGGGCCGCCGCTATGGGATAAATTAGGCAGAAGACCGACGATACCGCGATGCTGTACTCGCAGACTTCCTGTTCGCCAAACCGGATCCGGAAGTATCTGGCATCTGATGTTTCCGACACGTTAAAATCCATTTCCGAGTAGAGAATACATCGGGAACAGTGGTCGTCAGTGAACCGAATCTTTAAAATAGAACAAAAACAAAACAATTGTATTGTGTCAAGTATGCAGGAACCGCTTCTTGTTGCAACCAGCGATTCCGTTAGACGTTTTAATCCGGGGATGGAGGGACGGATGAGGGGGGGGGGGGGGGGAAGGAAGACGGACACCGATTGGAGTATTGGGTATTCTATATAACAACGTTTTTACACTTTCGGAAAAAGCAACAAGTCAGTATACACGTTCATTGGGAACAATATTTTCAAATAACATTAACTTGTTGCAGTTTTCTTTTATAGACATGCATAGTATACATGTCGCAAGTGTAAACGCAGTGTAAGATTGCAAAACTACGTTTTTCCGGCTCGGGAATGTGTAAAACGTCAACATTTGTGAAAAACTCGATTTATATTTCTGGCACGATTACTATATGTCCCTTAGGAATACCATAAAGTAGGGAAGTGTAAAACGATAAAAATGGTAAACGTTATTACAATGCTTCCTCAATATGCTACTCTTTATACGAGAAAGTGTAAAATGACGGTAATTCTTGTTGTTAAGTTTATTGTCCTTGATCCAACATGTCGGTCAAGTTGTGGTAAAAACAAACCGGAAATACAAGTTCTATCATCTCAGTTTTCTAGGTCACCTATCTAATCTCTGCTTCCGGCGTACCTTGTATGCTCTGAGCTCAGCTACCTTTAGCTCTGTGTTTAGCTCATCCTCGTCTGGTTACCATGATGGCGACCTGGTGCTATTGACCAGAACCACTGAGTGATGTTTGATAGAACCTACAGGCATAGAGGACCTACAGTATGATTTCTGATGGGGGAATCACGCCTTGACCGCTGGTAGGGGACCTACAGCATAGAAAACATACAGCATAGAGGACCTACAGTATGATTGCTGATAGAGGCATTACACCATGACTGCGGGTAGAGGAATTATTAGTAATACGAGCCGACCCGCAGCGTATCATACGCCGCTATTTAGTTGTTTCATTTTCTACTTTTCAGTAATTCATAATTTGTGAATTCGACAGTATCAATGCTGCCACTGAAAATATTTGCTTTAAAACACTAACCCCCCCCCCCCTTTCCCCTAACCCCGACCCTAACCCCGACCCTCCCCCCGCCCCACCCCCCCCCATCCCCCTCCCCCCGTGAAAGCAGCCTCCTCTTAGTTATTTCTTAGTTACCTCCTGTAGGTTTAAAATCGAACTAAATTATCTGCCAATAATAGAAACCCGGCTCTACGGCTCTACGATTTGTAAACATTTAGTGTGACCACAGCTCACCAGACAATGTGGGGGTGGGGTGGGGGTGGTAGTGATAGTGATAGAGAGAAAGAGAGGGGACTGCAAGGAGGCGCTTGCAGCTTGTTTTCTAACGGCTCCCAGAAGAGAATTATATATATAGATAGGACATACAGCATAGAGTACCTACTGTATACAGCACATACAGCATAGAGGGCCTACAGCATATAGGTTCTACAGCACAGAAGCCCTACACCACGACTGTAGGTAGAGAAATTACTGGTGATAGAGGACCTACAGCATGAGTGATGATAGAGGACCAATAACATAGAGGAACTACCTCATATATGACCTACATCATGGCTGGTTATAGAGGACATGCAGCATTTAGGACTTACAACATACATAATCCTAAACCATGGCGGATGATAGAGGTTCTACACTAGAGGATCGACATAACCTCTGTTAAGAATCCCGCGTATCTATTTGTCCTATTATGTCCTGTAGGACATCTTTAAGAAGTCTAAGAGTACGCCTACACTTGTAGGAACCCCACCATATTTTTGTCATGTCGGGGTCGTGGTTTCGGGTCCAACATCTGCCCTTATAATTACAAAAATAAACCAAACGTGTCTTTAAAAAAATAACTAAAGTTTCATATGATGGAAACGCTTGGGTATTATAAAAATACTAAACAGATAAACTCTACTTCGTCTGCCTTATTCTCTTTCCACTATTAATCGAGTCTTTTTTTAATTTTCTTTAACGCCTGTTTTTACCTGTTAACAAATATCTCTATCCATGTTAAAAAAACCAGCGAATTTTTATTTTTTACAGTTAACCAACAAAACCACATCATTCTCTCAATTACGTCACAACTCTTCTCCTTAACACGAACACAACCATCTTTTGTCCAACCCCCACAGGTGTTATCAAATTATTCCAAAAAATAAAAAAATATAAAAAATTTAAAATCCTTATCACGGAGGTTGCTATTGAAATTACTGCAGGCCGCGCTGTTCGCGAGCGTTGTGTGTCCGTGTTGACCAATCGCTGTGTGCACAATCCAAGCACAAACAAGGCCAGCTCGCCCTGCCAGTCCTTAGCCGATACAAAATCCTGTTTAGCTTTCAGCTTCCGCTACAACTCACGAATCTTTGGTAATTTCAACTCTATACTGGTGGTATTTTAATTAACCACAAGTATAATTAGCCTCTATATGATATATTTTAACCACAAGACGGTCGCAAAGTATATTTATCCATGTGCAGACTATATTTTATGGAGATATTTCTGTACATATTTCTATAACTTTTGTCACCATCTCCAAACAACAGCACGCCATTGCACAACACATACACACCATTCCACAACACCTATACGCCATCCCACAAAGCCTACTCACCATTCCACATCTACACGTCATTTTACTCTATTTCACAACACCGCAACGCCTGCAGACTATTCCACAACACCTACACAACATTCCACAACACCTACACAACATTCCACAACACATACACAACATTCCACAACACATACACAACATTCCACAACACCTACACACCATTCCACAACACCTACACACCATTCCACAAAACACCACCCCAAAACAACACATCATCCCATAACACCTACTCACCATTCAACAACACCTTCACACCATCCCATAACAACTACACACTATCCCACAACACCTACACACCATTACACAATACATACACACCATTCCACAACATCTACACACCATCCCACTTACATACACAAAATCTCAAAACAACTACACTCCGTTCCGCAACACCTACACTCCATCTCACAACACCTACACACCCTCTCATAAAACCAGCACGTCATTTTACAACTCCTACACACCATCTCACAACACCTACACACCATCCCACAACATCTACACACCATCTCACAACACCTACACACCATTCCACAACACCTACACACCATTTCACACCATCGCATAACAACTACACACCATCCCACAACACATTCACACCATCCCACAACACGTACACACCATCCCACGACACCTACACACCATCCCACAACACTTTCACACCATTCCACAACACCTACACACCATTTCACACCATCCCATAACACCTACACACCATTCCACAACACCTACACACCATCTCACAACACCTGCCACCCATCCACTGTCACTTACCCTCAGATCTCCTAACGGAACAATCACCAGAAAACTGAACACGGCGATAATCCCGTACATGATAATCCTCTGAATGTAAAAATGTTTCAACAGCTCTAGTACCGACTTCATTTTGATTGGTTTTTTAAATTATCACCACCACTATAAATTCAGTTCCGAACACAGTTCCGAACACAGCTCCGAACACTAATCCTAATCCAAGTTTGAGCAGGGATTAGGCTAACACACTGTCATTGTGTCAAAGCTTTTCTGGATTCACAAGACATCTGAGGAAAAAAAAATTGCAGTATTAGCCTGTTTATCAGTTTTATTTTTTCTCTAAAATATTAACATTCTAAATACTCGAAATTATGTACACTTAATTTTTGAAACTGAAATGTGTGTTTTCCTGCTAAACCTTTACACACATGTAGCATCGTAGATTCACTTACAGCCGTTAGAAAAGACAAACCTTGCATTTTTCGTGGTCAGATAAATGAAGCTAGTTCACAATGCGAAAGGGGGAACGAAAAAAAAAAAATCAACATAAGAAACGTAAACAAAGGGAAGACACTCCGAGTGACAGATTTGAAATGTACCCGTACATTGAACTGAAACATAAGCTTGAATAATGTGCCGTTAATGTCGCTCGGGCGACAAGAAAATATCGGCTGTTGGATTTTATTTGAAGGGACATTTTTAAAATAAAGTATCGTTGAATGGGGTTTGGGGTGGGGAGGGGCAGAAGGAGTCATGCGATAAATAAAAATAACGCGTAGCTGAAAAAAAATGCGTTCATCGACTGCAAATTATTACCAAAAGGCAAATTAGAACTAGACAAACGGAAAAGGCAGTAAACAACAGAACAATATGAAAAACTCCGTACAACTGGGTATTAGATAAAAAGAAAGGCTAAAAAAATTTCTGGAAAAAAAAGTAACAAATGAATATTATGTGAACGCATACACTTTGACGAAACACCTGAGACAAGGTAGGCTATTTAACCACAAAGGCCACACAAATAGTTGATTTAATGGTTTTTCTTTAAGTGGGGGGGGGGGGGGGGGGAGGGGTTTAAGCATAATTATTTTGAATACATCTCACTGTTAAAAATAACCACTTATGTTTTTTTAATCAAAATTTCTTTTAAAATTTCTTCACTTAAGACTGAGGGAACAAAAAATGAAGTATGACTTCATGCTAGAAAAATACTTCTACCGAATTCATATGCCAATGTGAAATCAACAAAAATAAATCACATGTCAATACTGTATAAAAGATAGCCACTAAAATTTGTTCAAGTCTTCGACTGGTTTTTGTAAGAAATTGATTTTTCAAACTAAAAAAAAAATAACCATAAAAATGTGTCTTAGTGTTTAACACTTAAAACCCGTTCTGTAAAGCAAGCGATGTTTGCGTTTAATTGTATTTCCGGTTTGAGGACTGATGACGTAGTAACGACGGAAGCTGGGCAGACGAGGCGATTGTTGTTTTAAGTGTTTGTACGCTGATTACTGGGGATGTTCTTAAGAACCACTTAATTAAGACATATCGATTTAAAAACCAAATAAACCCCATACCATATAATTCATCATTTCTCAACGCTCATTGGCGCACGACTCGACCACAAGTGAGCGCTATTCCGTTCTGTCTCTATAACATCTGCTTTTTGAAATATTAGGTCTCTTTCTCCATTGATCTTCCCGTGTTGCATTTGGCTGCTCTCGTTTTCTCTTACACGCCCCCTACCCCATGAGATTCCTGACTGTAAAAAACGCTAGGTTGTAGGCGGTACATCGGCTCTCATTCTTGGTGCATGACCCAACCATCTTCATCTTCCGTGTCAGATAACTTCTGTTAGTGCTTTAATGAATGTTCGTTTTAATTCCTCATGCAATTAGGTCTGGTCTTCTTGTATTATAACAGAGACGGTCCCACAAGGGTCCATGTTTTTGTGTTACTTTTACCCTGGTCCGTCTTACACAGGTAAGACCCTTGTAGGGTCATTTCACCCGGGTCGCTTCGTCTGGGGTCCATGTCTTTCTGTCACTTCTACCTACCCAGGTTAGTTCCCCGCATGGTACACTCGGGTCGCTTCCACAGGGATCCATGCCACCTGGATCAGTTCCACTGAGAGCTTACCTACCTGAAGGTGTAACCATACACAGAACATTTTGTTTATATAGGCTAGACTTTGCCTTCACCCCATTAATAGTAACATATTTTTAATCTTCGGGCAACGCTCCTTTTACTAGGAGATTCTATGGCCTATTTTGTTAATCTACAGCGTACATCAACATACAGCCGTCCATTGTTAAATTATACAATTAGTTTGTGATTTATGAGAATATATATATATATATATATATATATATATATATATATATATATATATATATATATATATATATATAGTCTTCTGGCTATTGACCCAGAGAGCGGACACCCACGAACCGCCACTCTGATGACAAACCTAACCCTTTATGCCAACAGCTTACGGTAAAACGGTAAAGGTAAATACACCAATAGCGAGGACAGAAATTCATAAAACCCAAACCTACATTACCATAGATAATATTCACACAGCCAACGCGGAAATAGCTTTTAAACTACCCGTCCAAAGGCCTCAGGGTTATCGTGACCTTGAAACAATGTGTACTTTCGTTTTCACGGGTCACTGAACACAAGATATTTTTTTTTAAAGCCTTGAGCGATCATTGAGTGCTTGAACTGTGTGGAGCCTGGGAAAACAGTTCATTGTGTCTAACTGGTACAGACATCTCTGGTTTCACTACACACCACATCACCACCGCAGAACAGACCCCACACCATCACAACACATCACATTGCCACCACTCCAGATATCCCTCTCCAACGTTACACACCCTTCGGCAACATCACACAACCACACACCACAACTGAACGCACCACTTGTCACTGATATATACATCCCACCACTACACAGACCCTTCAACACCAGTACACAAAAAAACTACCATTACTACAACACCCTGAACCAAACGCACCCCTCACCATCACTACACCCCCCATTACACCACTACACACACCCCTCAGCACCACTACCCACACCATCACTACACACCCCACCCAACCACTACACACCCCACTACACCACTACCCACACCATCACTACACACCCCTAACCACCACTACACACAACCACTACACACCCCCACAACACCACACCCATCAATACCACTACACATACCATCACTACACACCCCACCACTACACACTCATGAACACCACTACACATCCCACAACACCACACCCCAGACCATCACTACCCACACCACCATTATACACCCATCAACACCACTACACACAACATCACTACACACACCACCACTACACATCCCACAACACCACACCCCACACCACCACTACCCACACCACCACTACACATCCACCAACACCACTACACACCTCAAAACACCACTACACACCTCACAACACCACTACACACCTCACAACACCATTACACACCTCACAACACCACTACACACCCCACACCACCACTACCCACACCACCACTACACACCACTACACACTACTATACATCACTACACACTCATCAACACCACTACCTACACCACCACTTCACACCCCACAACACCACCACACAAACACTACACCTCCCCTAGCATCAAATGATCCGACACATCCGCATCAACAGCTCCCATAACAATTTACTAGACTAGATACACCGACAGGAAGATTTCTCAAGCAATAAACTAAAAATATGAACTGTGCAAGATTTTAAACGAAACGATCTTTAGCCTACAAGAAATCGACGTGCCTCTCACAGCTCAGCTGGCTGGTAACAACTAACATATTGATAAGGATAACCAACGCAACCTGCTCTAAATTGTGTGATAAGGAATGGTTACAACACGATTCCAGTAAAGTCATAATATGGTTATGTTAAGTTTACAGTGCGGTTAAACTTTGGTTTTGGCATGATTATAGTAATTGTATGGTATGGTTAGAGTACGGCTATATGAGGTTATAATACGACTGTGGTATAGTTTGGTTATGTGTATACTATATTTTACGTATTATAATTTGGCTATAGAATGGTTTAGTATGGTTATAAGGCGGATATAGTAAGCAGTATTGTAGTTTTACGGCAAGTATTTGCGATTAATGGCACACACAGGAAACTAACATGCCCCTTCACCCACAGGTCCTCACATTGAGCCCACAGGTCCTCATATGGAACCCTAAGGTCCTCACATTGACCTCATATGGAACCAACAGGTCCTCATATGGAACCCACAGGTCCTCACATTGACCTCACATGGAACCCACATGAACCACAGGTCCTCACATTGACCTCACATGGAACCCACAGGTACTCACATGGAACTGCTTCAAAAGGACCCCGCAGTGCAAATGGTAAAATATTTTGGCCCAGAAATACCCGGAGACCGGAGGTGGATACAGATATCAAGAAGATAAGCTGCAACTGGAGACAGCTAGAGAAGACACAGAGTATCAAGATGCCTGACGAAGATTTATTAGCGACAAATGCCATGGATGGGGAGATAGCCTAAGAAAGTAGTAAAAGACATCCCCAAATGTTAGACACAGAATTGATGAACTAGCACCAGTCAAAATAACACAGCTTTTCAAATTATCCCTGGGTGTGATTCCACTGTCTTAGTTCAATCAAGGGCATCTACAGGCAGCAATTGTCTGATTTGGAGTTTATTTTCGATGGTTAGCTTCCCCCTTCTGTGGACTTTCAGGTTAGCAATTATTTGTACCTCTCCAATACGAACAGGTTTCCGGATTGTTTTTTTTTTCTTAAATTTCAATCAAATTTACAACATATTTTAAACTTTTCAGCATTTTCGTGATAATTGTCTTATAAATACATTTCTTTTGCAATATTTTTGTTTAGATATTGTGTTAGCCAAAAATAAACTAAAGGAGTTCAGCGAAGTAAAAAAAAAGTTTGGTTTTCATTTTCATTTACATTTTGGGATAGTTGAACAAAGTGGAAGTGTATGTGTGTGTGTATAGGTATTTGTTGTGTGTATGATGGGGGAGGGGGGGGGGGGGAGGTGAAAGAGTAGGCCGGCCATACCAACATTCCCATAATTAGCTGGTCCCGGAAGTTATGACCATAGTGTGTCTAACCAGAAGCAATGCTTTAGTATTAAGTTCTCTTAAAGTAAAGCGGGACTGACAGCTTATTTATCGCTTCCTTTACCCTCGTAGGAAAGAAGGGGGGGGGGGGGTCACAGAGGTCAACGGAAGAAGGAAAAACTGTCTTTTCTGAGTAATACATTTTTTCTTAAGATAAATACACTGTTGTCTAATTAGCACACAAAAAAAAAACTAAACAAAGAAAAAATATAATGTACCATAATCCTTAACTATGCTAAGAATGTTTTTGTTCTGTACCAATGTGAATTCATATGCTCTTAAGTAGGTATGTACGTATGTATGTAGTTGTGTGTTCTAATGCTTGACATTTGGTGCGTCCCTGTACACATCTACACAACGCTTATCTGCTGAATATTCAGAGAGTCTTTGTTTCCAGAAGATAATTGCCCATGTTCTTAATGTGTCTCTTGTTCTCACGAGATAATTGACCATATTCCTTATCTCATTTATGCAGTGCAATGAGGAAGTGTCTGGCGATTATTGGAGGGTAAAAAAATTTACACAGGTTCAGGAGCTAACGATAACAAAATTGACCCGGGTCATTATCGGGACAGGTAGTCAATCATAATGGGAATATGGATCTGGTCGGTGTATGTGTGCGTGTAGGGGTAAGCTTGTGTGATGGGTGTGGTGTTTTATGCAGTGAGTGTGATTGTTATTGTGTGTCAGCGCAGGGTATGTGTTACTGTGATGTATATGTTTGTGGTGTATCGTTTTGTGTAGGCTATTGGTGTGTGATGTATTTATATGTTTGTGTGTGTTGTATGTATGTGTGTAAGGGCGTAAGGTGTATATATATATATATATATATATATATATATATATATATATATATATATGTGTGTGTGTGTGTGTGTGTATGCCGTATGCAACAGTTTATGTATATGATGTAAATAATTTGAGACAAATGTGTGTGCCATTCTGTAAATGTATGTGCTGTATGTCAGTGGGTGTATGTATGTCTGTGTTTATGTATGGGGCATGTGTAATGCATGTGTGTTTGTTGGATGCATGTATCTGTAAGTAAGGTTATTTTTATATACCTATGTTAATGTTAGATACATGTTTTCATTTGCCGTGTAATAAGTGCATTAATTCGATCAATACTTGTGTGTGTTTTCACTCCACTCTTTTGTAAAAAAAATAAATCACCGCTTTGTTTAAAAAACGGTTCAAAACATGCTCCAAACAACGTCTACTTACGAATAAAAAATTAAGTTTGCAGAAAGAATTTAAAAATTTGAATTACAATTTACATACTAAGAAATAAAATATACACCCCCTCCCTTTATTCATTAAGACAGCTTTAAATAGAATACGTTATCAGTTGCTGCAGTATGAGGTTCTATTTTTAGAAATGAGACAAGAAGGGTTGCATCTTGTGTAACAGGTTAGTCAGGGCGACATCAAAGCTCAGGTAAGCTCCTGTGATCAGCAGGTCGAAGCGGGAGCTTAGGTGGGCTTGTTTTAGGAGAGCTTAGGTGGGTTCGATGTTGGTGGGGGGGGGGGGGGGGGCTCAGAAAGAAAAGAAGGAAGGGGGGGCGTAAGTATGTGTGAAGAGAGAACTGTTTTGAAAAAAAAAACACAAACAAAGACATCAAACTACCACTGTTTTGTTTTTATTGTGGAGGTTTTGACGACAATGAGTAGATAGGGGTGGGGGTCGCAAAGTAGTTAAGGCTAGGAGTCGCTAGAAAGTGAGGGTTAGCAGTCAGAAGCAGATAGTGAGGGCTAGGAGTCAGATGCAGGTAGTGAGGGATAGGAATCAGATGCAGGTAGTGAGGGATAGGAATGAGATGCAGGTAGTGAGGGATAAGAGTCAGTCTGTAGTGAGGGCTAGGAGTCACTAGGTAGTGAGTGCTACAAGTTACAATCAGCTAGTGAGGGTAGGAGTCAGTAGTAGATAGTAAGGAGCTACGAGTCACAATCAGGTAGTGAGGGCTAGGAGTAGGTAGGTAGTGAGGGCTAGGAGTCAGTAGGTACTTAGGGCATGGTCACTGTGTATTCTGTAGTAAGAACCGAGGAACAGTTGGTGCCATCAATCAGTCGATGACAGGAGTCTTTTAAAGTCTAAACAAAAAGTCACTAAAACTTTTGAAGCGATAACATGTGTGATAAAATGCATGGAATTAATAGCAGCTTATCAAAACTTTAAAGTTGTTACGTTTTATTTTATGTGACAGCTGAAGACAGTATAACACTAACCTACTCTAAAAAATCCTTCCCAAAGCTAATCGCCACAAAGTAAATTAACGTAGCTCTTACCTTAGCTCATAGATCAAGCCTATACCGGCGAAGTCAACCTGCTAGTGTTATAGTTTACACAAACACGTCACGTTGTAAACTACAACCCTACAACCGTTGAGTGCGGGTTGGATCCGTGAGTTTAGAGGACGGGGATAAGGCCGTGAGATAGTCACAGGGCAGGGGAGGACTCGTCATCACGTGATGGTGTTTAAACGCCTGGAGATCTTCGTGCGTTTCTAGACTAAAGAATTTCTGTGTTTTTTTTATATAAGGCGATGACGAGGTTTAAAAAAAAACGTTTATCTGTGTATGGATTTAATGTTACACAGTTTAAGGTACACACAACATCAGAGGCGGATAAGGAGAGGGAAGCGACTGGATTTTTTAACATTTTAAAGTAATAACGTATCATAAGTAAAAACTATTATAAGAAGCTACAAGAGGGGCGTAGGCTAATGTTTCCTTCACGCATCTCCCCGAGGCATATCCAAACAGCGAAAATTAATAATGTATATTAAAAATATACTTTTTAATATAATTTTAAGTGCTCCCCCCACCAAAAAAATAAATAAAATAAAATGAAATAACCACCGGTGTAGACTGTAGACTGATATTTGTTGTATGTTAGGCTATATGTTGTATGTGCATATGGCAGTGGCGTAGCGAGGTCGGGTGTCACCCGGTGCGGCACTCAATGGTGTCACCCCCCAGAGGCGTAGCGACCGTTCCCGGGGACAAACTTTCAAACTTTCGATTTGCACCCCCCTCAAAATTTTCTCTATATATTTCGCTATTTTTTGCCTGGTGTCACCCCCCTAAATGGTGTCACCCGGTGCGGTCCGCACCCCCCCTCGCTACGCCTCTGGCATATGGGACGATGGGGGCTTCACGTTAAAAAATGTCACCTCAGCTCAAGCAACCACCACTTCACACAAGCGGGAGATTTGATCAATCACACCAGCCTAGTATTTTAATGTCTCAAACAATCTGTCACAAGACTTGCTTGATTGCACCTAGAGAGGTGGTTAGTACAGATTTGGACAGGATTGGGCCTAGTTAAATTATTAGAGCTGAACTGTAATCTCTAGGATGCAGCAGAATGAGCACTACGGTGGGTGCTTTATGTAAATGTTGTATCTATTTATAAGGAGGTATCCATTAAATAAGTCTACAGCTTGTTGCTTATTTGAACCTACCGGCTGGCTGGAGTACTCTAGTTTATTGTAAAGTATTTGGTATAATTAGTTTGTTTAAGTACGCTGAGTGCTTTTTTTTTTTTTTTTTTTTTTTTTTACTATATATGAATTTGCATGAACTTAGTGGCGCAACTGTAAATGTATAGCAGGGACGTAACACTAATTCTAAATACACTAAAGGGACGTAACTGTAAATTTACAGCACGGACGTAACTCTAAATGTACAGCAGGGACGTAACTCTAAATGTACAACGGGGACGTAACTGTAAATGTCCAGCAGGGACGTAACTCTAACTGTACAGCAGGGAAGTAACTCTACAGTAGGGACGTAACTCTAAATGTACAACAGAGACACAACTCTCTATGAACCAAGAGAGGTTAATAAAGTACCAGGAGAGATGACGGTAAAGGACGGCGGAATTAATTAGCATAAATTTGGTCGCATAGCATTTGACATTGACTAGGTCTATTGAAATAACACGAGTCAAAGCAGCATACTTTTTTTTTACTGCCAGATATGAACTCTCCAGTTTTAAAAAAGGCATGAATAAAAGTTGCTCTAAAACGGAAACAAGCAACGCCCACACGCCACGGAAAACTCACACAACGTGTTCTACAAACTTTGACACATTTTTACGGCTTTGATTTTTTCCAATATTTCTACGACGTCGCCGAAAATTCGGCCAAAGGAACCGTCAAATGCCACCAGCCGGTAGAGGTCGGTCAAGTATGTGACGTCTCAGGTGCATAACATTTTAAAAACAACACTTGCATGAACCAGTTAAAAAATAACGAATTGTTCACTCGTCGAAATAATGAATAAATACATTTTGGTTAAGTACTTATTGTATGGAAAACCCTTAATCAAGAAAGTGTTCTATGGAAGATCTTTGGTTACGCAGATATTATATTTGTATGGAAAACCCCTGATTAAGAAAATGTTAAGCGCAACTAAAACTTTGTTGCTAAATATGTAAAAACACAACAACAACAAAAGGCTAGCAACGTTAGAAATCCATTTAAAAGTCAGATTGCTCTAACTTAGACAAGTCTCTCGTTTGCCTCCCTTGTGTGACATGCTTGAACGATAGACAACATTCCTAAGTAATCCTTTCATTAGCAACGCGCTAATTACGTTATAATCGCCCATTAGTTTTTAAATGAACATTATATGGAAAATGTATACATATCTAATTATTTTTTAATTAGAATAGTTAATCGATAAAACGAGGCAATAGAACTGAATATCTTTGCTTAAATTAATAATTTTATAAAGCGAGTATTAAAATTGGTATGGACTACAGTTATTTGAAGCTAAATGAAACGTTTATATTTTTTGTATGTTAAGGAAATAAAACTTTGTACACACTAGTGTATAAGTATTGGTAACACAATACTTTTTTGTTAAGGATGAAATAATTAAAGGGCTATAAAAAAAGTCGGTTATTTAATGTATCTACAACACACTATGAAAAAAAAGAGTAGTCCAAATTCCAACGACTCATGAACACACATACATTCTTCTGAGCTACAACATTTTCTGCTAATTAATATACTTACATCACGCTTAAAAGAAATACACGTTTCACAAATATTCCAAAGTCGAACAACTCACGAACACACATACACCATACATCCTATCCCCGTGTTGTCAAGTTGTGTAAGATCTAGCAACAACTGGCCAGCACACATACATCACACGCTGTGTCAGACGACCGTCCAGCAAACTCCCCCAGCACGCATGTCTGACTAGCAACACCGCACAGCGTTCAAATCAATGGGGTGTTAGCCAGGTTGACTGTCACATTGCCAGGTAAACTATCAATGGGATTTTTTTTTTTACCTGCGAAACTGCGTGAAAGATCAGGCGGTGTTGAGGCTAACCTTTCGCCGTGATATGTTAACGTTAGGTAAAAACGGTGTTGAGGCGAAACTTTTACCGTGATATTTTAACGATAATTAAAATGATGTTATGGCAAAACTTTTAAATTGAATTGAAGCGTTTTATTCTAACCTTTGCTAAAAGGAGTATTTCTGCTATATTTGAACATTCTGTTAATTGGGATATGTATTTTATTTTAGCTAAAGGGCATTTTTGTAGGAAAATTTTAACTTATAATTTAAAAATAAAATGTCACCTTCGTTTTCTATTAAACTGACGTACTTAACCAAACAGCAGCTTTACTCGAATGTGTAGACGAAATAAAAATCAACTATGATGTCGTTGTTTGTAAACGAACCAGGCGAAAATCGATGATTTAATGGGGTTAATGAAACACGAACACGCATATATATATATATATATATATATATATATATATATATATATATATATATATATATATGTATATATATATATATGCCTATATATATATATATGCCTATATATATATATATATATATATATATATATATATATATATATATATATATATATATATATATATATATATATATATATATATATATATATATATATATATATATATATATATATATATATGTATATATATATATATATATATGTATATATATATATATATGTATATATATGTATATATATATATATATATATATATATGTATATATATATATATATATATATATATATATATATATATATATATATATATATATATATATATATATATATATATATATATATATATATATATATATATATATATATATGGATCCAACCTTCCTCCCCGTTACACACCAATGTTATCAGTTTTATCTCCCACCTGTTTAATCTGTTTTTATCCCCACCATATCGGGTGACGCCTGAATGTTATCTGTCAGATGAATGGAGGAGAAAGCTATTTACAGATCCAGATAGCAGACATGTTTTCTATTTGACACGTGTCAGCTCTGACCGTTAAAACAAAATTCCTTGTGAAGTTTTTTTTTTATTATTTGTTTGTACTCGAACCTGATGATTTTGTCCAATGGGGTGTGACTTGATGTAAACAAAGCTTTATGACGATATTCCTCTCTACCCAATAATTTAGAGGTCGTATCACTACTAGGGAGCAATGCATACAGAACAATGTACAACACTTATAAGTTTTTATTTATACATTTTTTATTGTTACGAATGTACAATCAAATGTCAAAATCGTATGGAACTAGTTAATCAATCTTTTATTCTAAGTTTAGTTTAACAAGCATTTATACATTAGATAAAATGCACTGTATCTAGGGTGGTTGCAGATAATTTTATAATTATGTGTCACCTATAGTCGTATAATAATGAACTAAAAATGCTATATATAGTCTATATATAACAGACCCTCCAGCAGGATTAATTCCTCTCCATTGACTTTGACAAGCTGAGATAAAAATCAATGCTAAAATGATGCGCCACGGGAGATGACTCCACCAAAGTAATAAATGCCAGTTATCGTTCTTGTTTTTTTTAATACAAGTTATAGTGGGAGATACTGGTCACGCACAATCGATATATTTTTTTTTTGTTGAAAAAAAAACAACAACAACACAACATCATTAAAAATAGTACAGATTTAGAACAAACAGCAGAAAAACCTGGTGATTTTTTATGGTATCCAGGATATGAAATATTTTGTAAAAAACGATTGTGTGTATAGGAAGGATGAAGGGATGGATTGATAAAGCTAATATTTAAATGGCTCAGAAAAAGTACTACATTTCTTTACGGTTAATTAACTTCCCCTTCCTCCCCCCCCCCAACTTTCTCCCTTATCCTCCCTTGGATCGGATGTTCGCCCCCCCCCCCCCCCCAAACACCACCGATATGCTTTCCAAGTCACACAACTCTAACACCCTCCAGCTAATTCACCCCCTGTCTTAAAGTACACTAAACCTCCCCCCCCCCCCCACATACACACAAACACACACATTTCCTTCTCACACTCTCAAATGACTGACCAGTTACTCAGACATCCAACTTGGCAACACCAAGAATTTCTATTTAAC